CACTGAAGATCAATCAGCTCCATTTGAAGCGCAAAAAAAAAAAAAAAAAAAAAGGGGGGGGGGGGCATCTTCCACTTTGTAGGAGACAGGGTCAGCAAAATGTGAAAAGTGTCTCTGTGTGTTTTGAAGTCTTCAAACGTGTGATCAAATTCTTCCTGTATCTTTGCAATGGCATTAGTAGACTTACTACTGAATGGTGTGCCTGAGTCCATGAGTATTTTGCATGTTGGGAAATGGTATAAGTTTCTCTAAGAACAATAACACAAGTTTAGTGCAGAATGCCCTGACATTGTCATAGGCAACCTTGACATGCTGCCACTGGTCTTGTAAACTACCTGCTGAGTATATTCTACTCTTGTGTAATGTCAACAAGAAAAGCCAAGTCCATGAGCCATGTGGTATCACTTAGTACAGGAGCAACCCCCCATCCTTCTCCATGAAGGCTTTGAAGACTAAAACATATTCAAACAGTAGGCAGGAGCCGGCAATATTTATGTATCGTTCATGCGAAGGAAGATGCTATTGTAGGGAGAATGAATTTAGATTTGTCATCGTAGAAAAGGCATTTTGACTAACCCTATTTTGAAAGTGACCAAGCTGACAGGTTCGGAATTTTCCTCACTCGTAAACACAATTGCTACAATTTACACAAGTATGGTTGTGGACTACCCACCAACTGACTTTTTAAACTTTTCACAAAATCGCACTTTGGCTGTTTGTCTCATAAAAATGTTAATCAAATAGTATCTAACTGGACATCTAAATGTGTTGGATTGACTTCTTCTTCTTCTTTTTTTTTTCTTTTTTTTTTTTTTTTTTTTTTTTGGTAGTATGGTGCCTTGTAGGACTAGTGTAATGATCTGTTGTTTGGCTACCTAGTGGGTTTCAGCCAAGGGCGAGTATACTGCCTTATTGTTGTTGCCTTTCAGTTTCCACAGTTCACAGTATGTACCCGGCCTAATCAAACCTTCGTTAAGATGCCTTGTTCTCAGGGCCTATATATATATATATATCTAGTTTAGTATGCCACATCACAAGGTCATCTGCACCGAATGCCTTCTCCACCTGTAGGATGTCCTTAAGAAAAGCAGATCAATTTGTAAAAAGCATGTTCAAAACTTGAAATAAAATTCAACAAGGCGCACTAATATTGAGCCACTACATGTTAGAAGAGAGGCACACTAATATTGAGCCACTACATGTTAGAAGAGAGGCGCGCTAATATTGAGCCACTACATGTTAGAAGAGAGGCACACTAATATTGAGCCACTACATGTTAGAAGAGAGGCACACTAATATTGAGCCACTACATGTTAGAAGAGAGGCACGCTAATATTGAGCCACTACATGTTAGAAGAGAGGCACACTAATATTGAGCCACTACATGTTAGAAGAGAGGCATACTCATATTGAGCCACTACATGTTAGAAGAGAGGCACGCTAATATTGAGCCACTAAATGTTAGAATAGAGGCACACTCATATTGAGCCACTACATGTTAGAAGAGAGGCACGCTAATATTGAGCCACTAAATGTTAGAATAGAGGCACACTAATATTGAGCCACTACATGTTAGAAGAGAGGCACACTAATATTGAGCCACTACATGTTAGAAGAGAGGCACACTAATATTGAACCACTACATGTTAGAAGAGAGGCACACTAATATTGAGCCACTACATGTTAGAAGAGAGGCACACTAATATTGAGCCACTAAATGTTAGACGAGAGGCACACTAATATTGAGCCACTACATGTTAGAAGATAGGCACACTAATATTGAGCCACAACATGATAGAAGAGAGGCACACTAATATTGAGCCACTACATGTTATAATAGAAGCACACTAATATTGAGCCACTAAGTCTTAGAAGAAAAGCAGCAGTTATCGAGATGTTCGAAATGAACAGAAGGATACACATGCAACATCAAACTAGAGCGATGGTTGAAGCACGGAGACCAAATCATAGAATTAAACTGAAATCAGTACTAGATGTAGCCTCTGAGATTGAAAACACCAGCACCTTATACCAACAGATAGAGAATCAGCGAATCATACCTAAAAGACCCATTCCCCAAACCAACATTTACGGCTTCTTCTATCAAAACAGATCTAATCGAAAAAAACACACAAACAAAAAAAAATACCAACAGATAGAGAATCAGCGAATCATACCTAAAAGACCCATTCCCCAAACCAACATTTACGGCTTCTTCTATCAAAACAGATCTAATCGAAAAAAACACACAAACAAAAAAAAAAAACAACAACAAAACAACAATAGCATTAGCATCCTTCCCAGAGGATATAATTCAAATAGACACAGATGCGTCAGCTTTCAAAGGAGCCCTACGTGCAGGCTTTGGTGTAGGGTAAGCGTACACAGACTGATCGTGAGATGAACTCTGCAAACCCCCGTGGGGCGATCTGCAGTAATCAAGCAGAAGCATCTTCTTTTGAAGCAGCGTTACACCACTAATCTGGAATCTTCATAGTTTATCCCAGCAAACAATGTTGTCATCTTCTCCGATTGTAAATCAATAGTTCAAGCAGCAAAAACAGTAGTAAAATCGCTACTTCTGAAAATAAACACTTTGATCAAAATCTACGCATTGACGCAAACCTTACAATAGATCACAAATACAGGGACACCACAGTAGACCAGGAATGAAAAAGAAAACCAAGAATGCGGGGGGGGGGGGGGCTTCCAATGAACAGCCAAACATACCTACATCACTCAACACTGTGAAGGAATCAGAGCTAACAAAAAAGACGAGTGGTCAAGTGGACGGGCTATGTGCTCAGGATGATATGTTTTCATACACTTCGCCAGTCCAGACCCTAAAGATCCAATAAACTGCCTCCAAAGACAAGTCATAATCTTTCACCGGTGCGCAGGATACATACAACTTAATTCCAACCTTAACCGCAAAAAGCCAGATACAAAAAAAACAAAAAAAACAACCCATTTGCCCCTTCTGCAAACATCAAAATTTTCAACATGAGACGATAGCACAGCACCTCTTCCATTGCCCAGCACCACACGACTTACGCCTAAACCATCTGCCGAAAATACCAGACTACAACACCACCATGCTGTACACCAACAGCAGCTGCTGAGAGTGAATACATTCTTCACCGTGACTGCAGGGCACATGTCCAAATGGCCACTTGATCTGAATGATGATTGGTATATGGGGCAATACTATTTACATTTGTTTTGGGGCACTAACTTTTTTTATAAATGTTATCTAGGGCAATAATTCATATATAAAGTTAGTATTCAACACGCAATAACCATACCTCCCTGGCCGTCTATTCTTTCCGTCACGTCTTTGACCGTCTAATTTGTGTATCTTTACTTTGAGAGCAACAATTTGTGTCTATTTACTGAGGGGGTAAGAATTTGTGTATTTTTACTGAGGGGGTAAGAATTTGTGTATTTTTACATTATTACTTTGAGGGGAAAATGTGTGTATCTTTGCATTATTAATTTGAGGGGAAAATTTGTATAGCTTTGCATGATTACTTTGAGGGAATTTGTGAATCCTTACACTTACGTTACTTTGAGGAAAAGAATTTAATTTGTGCTGTAGCTCTGATATAGTGGGCAGGGTGTCTTAAAATTTCTTAAGTTTTACAACTGCTTTGCCATTTCATTAAAATTTTTAATAAAGTAAAGGTAAGTTGTGTTGATAACTTGCTGATAATGTTGAGTTCCCAAAAAACAACAGCAGGTGTTTATCGTGTGCATTGAACCATGGGCGCCCGCAGAAAACTTTCTAGGGGGGGGGGGCAAAAAAATTTTTAGTACTGTTTTAATGTAGTTTTAATTTACTGTAGCGTATTTGTATGGTGAACGAACGGACAGGACACAGTAAAACGAGATCAGCATCAGCTTAGTTACTTTCTCTTTACTTTAATAAATTTTTTTGTCTATTTTTTTTTTATCCAATCAATCCAGGGGGGGGGGGGGGGGAAGGTTCGCCCCCCCCCCCCCCTGGGGGGGGGGGGAGAGAAGTGCCGCCCCCCCCCCCCTTGCGGGTGCCCATGCATTGAACAGTAGGTAAGTTATTAAGCTCACAGATTGGTGCATTTTAGGATCAGATTTCATCTTGTTGTAATGATGTTTGAAAATTGAAACATGATTATTTAAAGAAAAAAATGATCTTATTATAGGGTTTAATATTGTAAAGACTTGGGCAGTGATCACACCAGGTTACCTTATTATGGATGGTGACACCTAGGTACTTGTATGTCTACTGTTACCTTATTATGGATGGTGACACCTAGGTATTTGTATGTCTATTTAAGAACTACAGGGATTCAATCAAAGACTCTCAATCCAAGAGAAGAAAAACACCCGCTGTAACAGGCCCTTCAAGTCAGCAGATGATACAACGTTCTCAAGAAGCTAAAAATTAGGAAAAACTGAAATATTGCCAACTCTACAGCTGACCTCCATATATACCTCACCATAATGCAAAATATACCTGCCCACAACACAACACAAAATATAACTGCCCACAACACCAAATATACCTGCCCATAACACCAAACATACCTGCCCACAACACCATTTATACCAGCCCACAACACCAAATATACCTGCCCATAACACCAAATATACCTGCCCAAAACACCATTTATACCAGCCCACAACACCATTTATACCTGCCCATAACACCAAATATACCTGCCCACAACACCATTTATACCAGCCCACAACACCAAATATACCTGCCCATAACACCAAACATACCTGCCCACAACACCATTTATACCAGCCCACAACACCATTTATACCTGCCCATAACACCAAATATACCTGCCCAAAACACCATTTATACCAGCCCACAACACCAAATATATATAAGCTACGCTGTCACACTACAAGCCATCAGATCAACAACAATCAAAGAATATGAGCTTCTGGTTATGAAAGATAATAAGAACTATGCATTTTTTATGAGTTTTTTAATATTTATTTTGAAGAAACCTGTTATTAAAATTTGAATCAATTTTATAATTTTATCTTAAACATCAAGAATGAATTTAACAATGCAGATAGAATTAATGGCTAAATTGAATCACTAAGATGACAATGCATTTGTAAATATTCATAGTTAAATGAACTTAAAATGCAGGTTCAATGAAGACCTGTGAATTAAATATCTGATGTTCAATAAAAAGTTGCTGCCACTGAAACATTCAGTTTTCATTCAACTTTAATCTAAAATGGAAGTCATTAGTATTAGAGCTAGGAGTCTACACTCAAGCCAGCAATGACATGTGCTAAAACAAACGTTGGACCAACAGATTTGCTTCTCTGTGTGCTAGGGCTTCTGTTGGATCAAAAGAGTTGCTTGTTTGTGTGCTAGGACCCTAGTTGGACCAACAGAAATGTTATTTTGTGTGCTAGGACCTTTGTTGGACCAAAAGAGTTGCTTGTCTGTGTGCTAGGACCCTTGTTGGACCAAAAGAGTTGCTTGTCTGTGTGATAGGACCTTTGTTGGACAAAAAGAGTTGCTTGTCTGTGTGCTAGGACCCTTGTTGGACCAAAAGAGTTGCTTGTCTGTGTGCTAGGACCCTTGTTGGACCAGCAGAGTGGCTTGTTCATTAAATGTGGCAACAAATCCAGGGTCAATGCATTGAATTTTGATCATAAAATCTTTTCGCTCAGCATCTGTCCAGTTTGAGAACCACTGAGAAAATAGCTTGAGTTGGCACTGAAATATACTAGGTGGCTTGTCACTTACACCTAGTGACTTCATGGAATCAAAGAGTGAATCAACATAGTTCGGTATAAGTCTGAGGAATGAAGAAATGGAGACCTAATTGCAGTATGTTAGTAGCATCCAGTGTTAGTAAACATCTATAATACAACATGAGTGACTGACAAATTAGAAAACTGTCAATACTGGCATCAAAATTTTCCTTACTGCACAATAATTACAAAGAAACAAATTGGAACCAAGGACCAGAATGAGTCTTCACTGCTAAATTTATGCAATAATTGCTTTGAATGAAAGCCATGATACAAACATCAGGGCTATAAAGATTTAAGAAAGAGGAAAATCATATTGTGTTACCAGTCCAACAAAGCTGTGAGCAATGGTTGAATGGTCCCAGAGCTGTGCAGAGGAGCTTTGTGCCTAGAGGAAATTAAAGTTTTGCCCCCCCCCCCCAACCCCAAAATGTGAAAATAAATTGTATCATACATTTACATTTCTGCCCCTGGGGAACCCCAAGCAGACAGGGGCCCAAGTGGTTCACTTAGTTGCCTCTCAAGGCCCTGAATGGTGCCTCTTATTTTACCCTTATTTACAGCCAATCTTTTGTGTAATGTTCTCACCAATGCAGTTAGAGATCACTTAGAGGAAATATGTACGGCTCATAGGGAACATTGTTGCGTGAACATAGGTAACACACTGAGGAAAATTTGTGAACTAGGTAACATACTGAGGAAAGTGTTGTGTGAGAGTTGGTAACACACTGAGGTAAATTAATCATAGGTAACACTGAGGGAAATTGTGTGTGAACATAGGTTAGACACTGAGGAAAATTTGTGAACTAGGTAACACACTGAGGAAAGTGTTGTGTGAGAGTAGGAAACACACTGAGTCACTGAGGTACATTAGTTCTTACTTATCAAGTAGATCCTTGAGGAAATCCTGCTTCTGTAAGTGACTCCATGTTGTGAACCAGTGTAAAACGCATTGAATCTCTTTCTCAACATTACCAAGTGACATGACTGTGAAAAGCAGGCAAGAAATTTTTTAAAATGCTATTATTAATATTATACATACATCATGATCATATTATAATATCAAAATAATAAAATGGATTATGTTGTCTTGTGGTGATGCTGATACTGACATAATTATAATTCTTATGGTGTTCCTTACAAAAATACAAGTCTATTCTCACTTCATCATGGAGCATGTTGACATGTTATACTCAAATTATGCAGTCTACAACAATTCATTAATACAGGTGATAGGTCTAATCTTACGCTCTTGTCCTTGTCTTAGTCCATAGAGACTAATTAACTACCACTAATACTGAATTTCAACTTAAGAAATAGAAATTAAAATAAAATATTAGGACCTAACAAGTAATAGTCTAGTCTAATAGTATTTGTCATAATAGGCTAGATTTAGATCCATGATTTCAATAATTATTTTTGGATTTTCTAATCAAATAAATTTTATAATTATAAGGCACTTTGATGAAAATTTAAATTAAACAAAAATACTAAAGCTGTATAGAGCCTAGAGAATGGTTTACAAAAATACAACTTTCTAGCTCAAGTGATTCAAAAGTTATGAATTGTTTAGTAAGGACCTCAAAACCACTTTTTCACTATGGGGTTTTCCTCCACATTTTGTGACCCTCATTAATACCCCTTTCTGTGGTGTTGCCATTGCCTGCTAGCAAAATGATCATTAAAAATTGTGAATTGATTTAATTTATATTGCTTAAAGAGAAATCACTCTATATAAATGGGTTTGGTTCCTATTTCCGTTACAATCAGTGTGTTTACGTGCTTTTATCAGGTATTTTTTGTAATTAATCAGGTGTGAAATTTTCTCAAACTTTTTTACTGCCATGTCTGATGCCGGAGAGGGCCCCGCTCTAGATTTTTAAAAATAACACAGAATTTCCTTATTGGAATTATTTCAAATATATTGAAATGAAAGCAAAGATTTCAGAGATATTCCACATGCTAGTAATAACAGAATTAGCTCTGGCAGTGATATTGACATGAAATAAGAGTCAGATACTGACAATTTTATCACTAAGCTTATGAGTATTAGGAGTCGTATTATTACTGACAAATTCTTTTGGGAAAGAATGGAAAAGAAAAAGACAAAGATTGGATCCCAATGACTTACCCAAATACATTTATTTATTTTTGTGTATGTTCTGGAGCATTAATTAATAAAAATTGATTTAATAACTTCAATTTTTGAACGTATTTCGTGCCTTCCCCTCTTGTATTTTGTATGACAGAAATTTGAAAAAGTAGTGAATGAACAAAACTATAATAACTTGTTATTTTCTGAAAGAATATTCTAGTTCTAGTATCTCAAAAACTTGATTGTATGATTGATAGTCTGAACAATTTATCATTATGGAGTATTTAGTATTTAGGGTGGGTTGAATTCAGAAGTTGAGTACTAAAATTTTACGCTCTAAAGGTCAAGGTCCAAGTCAACATGAGGTAATCCCTTATTTTACCATTTTTTTAGTCTGGGACTTTTGTAATTTTTGACAAGCATAAGAGTAATACGACAGTGCTAAAATAAAAATAGTAAAAATGGCTTGACGCTGCAGAAAAAATGTTCTTGACAGTTAATATACTATATTATATAGTAGGGTTAAAAATAGAAAGGTTAAGTGAAGTAACAATATAAAAACATCCATTTATTGGTAACGGCTATAAAACAAAATATTTTATATACAAATTTAAAATTATACTATTTATTTAGGCAGACTAACTTATGACTTATGTTCTCTAAATACTGCGGAAACCAAAAGTAATAGCACAAATCTATACCTAAACAAAACTAGAGTGCTCTCCCAGTGTCGTTAAAAATCTCTCATGTCACCGAATCCGAAACAACTCGTTGACTGTTGTGCAAAAGATGGGCCCCTTTGCAAGGACTGTTGTATACAGCATTGGACTTTTAGTTGCTTGTGGTGGCCTATTTTATTCGGTAACACCATCAGAGTCAGCATACAGTCAAAAACTTAATGAGGTTAGCGGCTAGCATCATATTGAGGATTATTGATTAAAGGGAAGCGTTATCCACACAGCTCTGTGAATAACTATAACTAATAACTATAACGTTGAGCGTTATCGGCAGACCGAGATCTGCGAATAACGCCGAGCGTTATCGGCAGACCAAAATCTGCGAATAATGCAGAGCGTTATTGTTAGACAGAAATGTTCCCATAATTACACACATTTCTAGAAATAATTAAGATCACATTCCAAGCCGGGGTAGGGGCGTAGTTTTAAGTAGTGTAGGATAGATGAGATCGTTAATGAGAATGGCACAAACACATCTCAAAACCGAAGCTACCGGTATGCACAAGTTAAATTAAAAAAATTTAATAGGCCTAACTATAGCCTATATATTGGATATAGGACAATTAATTGTGCCTACATCTGCTCTGTTAGGGGCCAACATATTCGACCTATAGAGTGTTACTAATAGATGCAGTCAAACCTCCTACTCCTAGACACAGCTAATTTTCTGGTATTTCATATTAAATGTTATACCAGTAATAAAAATGGTACCGGTATTCTTCATGTAGACTCACTTTCACCCACTGTAGAGATGTCTTTAAATGATGTCAAAGCTTGATAGGATATCGTTTAGTTTTTTTTTAAAGCACTATGATATATCACGTAGTCCAGAAATGTTCTGACAGAAATAGTTGACATGCCGTGCAACAGATGCAGAGAGGTGTCTCCATCAGGCGGCCATGGGAGGGGCATATAGGCCCTACATCGATAATAACAGAATCTAATCCTGTTCAAGGCTAGTATTTTTTCCTGATCCTTGAGGATGTCCCGAAGTCTACCCAGCTCTGGGCTTAGCTGGGGAAAAGTAAAGCTGGCTGGTTATTGCGCTGGCCATACACTCAAACTTGTAAACGCTGCTTCAATTGCCCCAAGGGAACTTTACTTCCCAAAGACTCACAAAGCATCCTACGACCAGCAGGGTTCCAATTAATTTTTGTATGCTTTTTTTGTATTTAGACCCATAGTTACAACAATGGCAGTATGGCTTTTTGTTTCAATTATCAACATTTTTTTACAAGGGCTAAAATTGTTGATGTCAATGATATTGATGTGTTTTAAGTACGGTACCGGTATGTTCATTTCATTGTCATCACTAAATGTTATTTCAACTATTTCTGGAGTGGCATATTGTGTCCCTACTTATTATGATACTTATTAGAAAATAAAATGAAACAAATAAAATGTGACATATTTTTTCAGCTAAACATTAATCATTAATACACAACTCTGAGATCTAAAATATTTGAATAATTAAGTTATTAATAAGTATTTGTTTATTAGAGAAAAAACAAATGGATGTTAAAGTCTATGGGTGGAATTATACAAAGAAAATTAAACAGTCAAAAGAGCTAAAAGTATATCACAATGCACAGTTAGAACAGCTGTATCTGACTTAAACATGGTTTATGCGGCTCATCTGCATGTCCATGTTGTTTACAGTTTTTTGACGAAACTTGAATGAACATTCTAACAAAATAGATTGAAACTTGTAACATAAGTAACAAAACTATATGAAAATAATAATAAAACTATGTGAACAGAATAAGAAAGCTATATGAAGAATATTATTATAATATAACACTACGAAATAACAATTAAATATTTTTTTAAAAAATTTTATTTATAAAAATGAGGCTTCCCCGGCGGGGAATCGAATCTATGTCTACCATGTGACGGGCGGAGATACTGACCACTACACTACAGAGGAGATGTTTACATACGAACTTTGTATTTTATATTCATAATCTAATTTTTCACATTCTGCGAATAATGTCGAGCGTTATCGGCAGACCGAAATCTGTGAATAACGGCGAGCGTTATCCGCACAGCTCTGTGAATAATCACTTCGTTGATTAAATGTAAAATGTAATAGTAATATTAAAATAATTATGAAGTAAATCTAAGTTACTGAGTCAGTGACTGAGTTACTGTTACTCAGAGTTACTGTTATTATTTCTATTAAATTATTAACTATTACTGCTACCTTAACGCCCTAGTGGTAGTTAACACTGTAACTATTAAGAGAATTATTAGAAGACATACTATTAATATTATAATAATCAATATCACTGATCTCTATTTTTGTCTTAATAATATCATAATCATACTACTGAGTGTCTGAAGCTAAGACAAGACCATTAAAGAACCATCCAATACTGAGATCGCACTATTTTGGACATTGTAGCCTAAGGTGACCAAATCATGAACTGGAAAAAACGGGACGCCTTCATAGAGGGTTTTGGGGAGGGGAAATACCCTCCAGCCAAAGAGGGGTGCGGGGGCCTCCACCGGAAACTGTTTATTGAAATATGCTAATTTTAACTATGAAATCTAACCTAGAAATCTACTCAGTCTTTTCATATGTTTCACTGATATGTTGTTTTATGTCTGAATATCCACCATGACCAATACTACAGACACTATGGCAAACTGTGCACTCGGCTTCACTTTCATAGCATCCCTTTTTAATATAGTTCCACTCTTTAAAATACTCCTCTATAAACGTACATTGACGCTTGGGCATAATTATTGTCTACATGTGAAGATAATATAAAATTAAATAATGAAGTTCAACACCCAAAACAAACACCTGACATGAAAAGACCGGCAGGGATCACACACACAAGACTAAAACATTACACATAGCGGTAGTTGAATCAAAATTGGTTTCTGCGAAGTTACATCCTATTCCCCCCTCCTCCCGCGTCTTCAAGTCTTGTGCCTTTCGCTATACATTTACATATAAGATCTATGGCAGAAACACTGTGGTGGAGGGGGAACAATGCAGCCATCGCATGAGCCCACATCACTACTGGCACTTGCTACACAGCTAGCCAAAATATTACTTGAATTTATATTATAAATTAGGAAGTTTTCGTGATTTTAAAATGGGTTTGGTTTAAAAAACGGGACATTTAGGCGTTCTGAGAGACTTTTTTGGGACAACGGGTACGATCATGAAAAAAAACGGGACAATCCTGTTTTTATGGGATGTTTGGTCACCCTACAGTAGCCGTAACATTAGCAATAATACATCATTAAAAAAAGTGTTCTCCCCACCTCCATCACCCAGATGCATAGATCATAGAGGGTAAGACTAAGAAATTAGCGACTAATAATTTAAATAAGAAGCAGTGATTGCTAGTCCCTATTCAAGTATTCATTCAATTGTTAGTTTATCTAATACTAATAATATTATTGATAACTTAACTGAACTATTAGGCTATTTGGCGCATGAAAAAAAGGGGATGGTTTATAATTATATTTTATTTATTCAATCTTGGGGGTCAAGTTATTTTAAATTTTTTATACCTTTTTTCACGCTTTAATTTTAATATAGGTAAATTTAGCCTATAATGTGTAGGCTGTGGCGTCGCTAGAGTTAGTGCCACCTGGGTTGGGTTCAAATAAATCGGGGTACTCTCTAAAATATTTTAAATAGCCATTATATTCTTAGGCTTCTCATCACCATTTAACTTTAACACTATCCAACTATACCTTATTATAAAAAAAACTTTCCTAGTTAGGTGTAAATTTAAATATTCAAGTTTGGATACTGAACTCTTAACAAATCGCCCACAATATGTCAAGACCAATTATCTCTAACCAGAGAAATAAGCAATAAGAAGTATACAATACATACCAATGATATTCAGAGCTCAAGTGACATTGATCCAATTTTAAAAATAATACCACCATTGTTGGCTTAATATCTGAGAGAAGGCTTATACCGCAACTTAGACTTAGTTACAAGCTTTATCAATCGGTGCTGAATGTCTCATCTCAAAAACAAAGGAAATGGTTGATTTTAGGAGGGGGAAACACCAGTTTACAGATCTCAACATAAAAAAATCAAAGTGCAGTGAAAGTATAGTACTTAAGTGTCACCATTAATAATAAGCTAACATGGCATGAGCGCAGCCTAATGCTATATAAGAAATTCAACCAAAAAACTGTACAATTTCGGCTTAAACAAACAAGTCGTTAAATTGTTCTACAGTGCAACAATTGAAAGCTTACTTAATTTCAATATTACCTTCTGATGTGGGAATTCAGTCTGATAAATAAACACCGCATAAACTGACTAATCAAGAAAGCTAGGAACATAACACAAACTAAACAACCTTCACTTGAAGAACTATTTGAAGAAAGGTGTTATTGTAAAACTTAATACATATTGATATTGGATGATACATCCCACCCTCTTCATCCCAGATACTTAGGATCGTCCCGTTCGGCGAATTCTTTCTGTCAGGGCGCGAGGACTGAAAGATATAAACGTTCTTTGGTTTCCCAATCTTTTCAAATTTACCAGCGTGCTCCCCCTGAAGTCACAAATCTTAATGAGAACTAATAAGTCCCTGACTGATATGGCTAAGAGAATTCACTGAATGGCTGTTTTTTTCAATAGTCAATGTTCAAATTGTTTTATTTATATGCTGAAAATGTACAATGCAATCAAAAAACAATCAATAAAAGAATCTTATCTTGTTTTCAGAATTTTGTGGACCTCTTTTTGAGTTAATTTTTAACTGAATGAAAAAATTATTAATAATAAACCACCTATCTATAAATTGTATTTTTAAATTTAAAATGATAATTATTCTGGCATTTTTTCATACCTACAGAAACAAGGAATGTTACCACAAGATGTTTTGGAGGCAAGAAGAGATAAAGAGCAGTTAATGTCTAAATTGAGGAGTGAAGCTGGATTGAAACCAAAGGAAGAATCTTAACCATTGCTAATTTAAACTGTTAATAATAGTTTAGTGTCATTGTGTAATTTTTAATGATCATGATGAGTACAAGTGTAGTTGTTTTCCTTAAATTATCTAAATAAGTTAAATAATAACCAAATTATTCAATCTCCTTACATTTTTTGCATATATCAAGATGACTGATAAGTGCTATTGTTTGTCTTAGTAATGTGATACTTTCAGTAGGTACTCTCAGATAACTTGATGCACTTTGGTACTATACTGAGATTGTGTACGTTTAATTATGCTAAACTGCTATGTTGATAACTCTTTCGTTTCGTTGAATTAACATTTAACGATAGGAAATACAAAATATACACCTGCCCTTTTACTATGCAACTACTACAATACATGCAAACCAAATTGTAGATTTAGTAATGGATTATGGCAGTATCAATTTAATGTTACTATTGGGGAGAAAAATGTTATGTATTTTCCAATTCTCTTTCAAAATATTAATTTTATTTTTTAAATTACAATTTAATGAATAAATGACGAAATAAATTATTATTTAATATTCTCAGTTGCTAGAGCGTTTATATATAACATGAGTTTAAAATAGTTTATATTAATTTTGAAATAGTGGAACGAGAGCATTATTGTAACAAATGATAAAATAATGTACCCGGTATCGGCACCTGACAAACTGTTTTATGTAATAGAATTTTTATTAAAGAAGCTTTACAGCTGCACGGATTGTTTATGAGTTGTGTATTTAGATGGTTTATGAGTTGTGTACAGTTTGTTCTGATATATGTTTCTGTAGATTGTTTATGAGTCATGTACAGTTTGACTCCAGCTCCAGTTTGTGGGAATACATGCTCCTGTAGCTCTTAAAGATTTCTACTTAAATAATTTTTTGATTTAGTTTCTTGTTACATAAAAATTGATTTGTGACTGTGATGTCAATCTGAAAATCTTATTGAATATTTCAAGGGTAACAAATCTTGAGAAACTCAAGAATCATAAATGAACAGGTAGAAATATGCTAACTTTTCATTTCTGTTTCACTATTTTAAACAGTCAAAAAAAAGGTATTAGGAAACCTTGAGTTTTGACAGAAATTGTCCTTTGGAAGTGAATGTCAATTGTAACCTAGTTTCAGTTTCTAATACCAGGAATTCATATACCAGCATTTTTACCTTTTATTTGTTATTCAATAAATGTGCAATTATATCCTTTTAACACCCTTTTCTTAATCTAAGAAAATATTTACTCGAAAATGCTTTTTGGTTGACATCCATCATTGAGATTGCAAAAAATTGAAAATTTTTTTGTTATGATGGCTTTGTCTTTAAAGTTACAGCCATAATTTCAAATCTTTAACTCATTGAAACTGTTAACTAAGGGGACATCCATATATTAATTATTATCCATTCATTAATCCCTGTGGAGCTACAGACCACATATTGCTGTGACCTGCCTCACCACTTCCTTTCACTCAGACCTAACTTATGCTTTTCTATTTCTATGCTTGGATTCCCAGCTGCTGTAGAACTTTTTCAAAATTATCCATCCATCTAAGCCTAGATCTGCTTTTGAGACGTTTTCCTCTGGGGTTTTGGTGGTGCACCCTCTTCACTCCTCTGTCATTTTTTTTGGCCCTCTTCCTAAGTTTCAATCCATATTATGTAAGCAGAAAATTCACACCTTCCACCTGTATATTTTTTAGGACCCTCTTTGCATTAGCACATGTACAAATAAGGCAACCGCTCCCCCCACACACAAGCACAATTTTTTTTAAAAAATAGCCACGTTTCAATTACATTTATGATGTAAGTGTAAGTACAAGGCAATTAAACGAAGCCACAAAGGCGAACAATAAAGCTGTAAAGACTAAATATATAACTTTTGTGCTATATGATATTATGAGTTCATTTTTGAAAACACAAAGCAACAGAATTAGGAAAAACTTGATGCTATGTTTATAGTATGGCCATAAAAAATAATTAGAAATCATGGATTTGACCTAATTTTCTGTGATAGTTGGAATATTTGCAAAAATAAACAGGCTTTTTTTCTTAACCAAGGGGACACCCCCTCCCCTTTTTATTTCTCCACATTAGCACCTGTACTTAAAATGTCCTGTATCAAACAACCTCTTACCTCTGTGTGCGTACATAATATATGGATGGCCCCATACATTTTCCATTTGTGTGTGTGTGTGAATGTACTTAGTGACATTTGAATAAACACTAGCTACATCACAGCTTTTCTGATGACCAGAGTGTAAACATTAGCTACTGGTATCAACACAGCTATTCTGTTGGCCATAGCGTAAACATTAGCTACCAGAACATCACAGCTATTCTGATGGCCCGAGTGTAAACTTTTGCTACATCACAGCTATTCTGATGGCCAGTCTTTAAAGCTCTGCTACACCAAAATAACTCAGTTAACTCTGCATTGCATTTAATAAATAAATTTCTTGACAAGGACTAGAACATAAAACTAAATCTCTGTACTGTCAAGATTCTTTATTTGTTGCTCCAGGCTTGGCGTTAGGGGAAGATGCTTCTTTCTTTTTGTTTCCCTGAAACAAGATTTTGTACATTCAGTTAGCAAATGAGTAAAACAATAGTGAACATTTCAGTCTTTGAATGCTATCAATCTTTTGCAACATTTATGCCATTACTAAATAATAGTAAAAGTATCAATCTATGAAAACTATCAATCCACCTTGTCACCATCCTCTCTCTTTGGCTTGATTTCAAGCGGAATAGTAACGGGGCCATCATTTTGGATATGGACTTGCATGTATGCTGCAAATTTGCCATCTGTTTTGTAGAAAGAAAACATGAGACTATCGGTACCATTAAAAACCACAGTGTAGATGAGTCCCATTTAAAACTAGTGAAGATTAGTCCCACTAAAAACTACAGTGTAGATGTGAGGGAAATTGGACCATGGCTGGCTGATAGATGCCCTGGTTTACTTTCTTTGGGAATGGGGATAACAATGGCATTTTTTCATGCTTTCGGCATGTTACCTATGTTTTAGGTCCTGTTAATGAGAGCTAGCAATATTTCTCTTGAATGCTTTCCTAGGTGGGGTAACATTTCATTATGAACCTTGTCAGGGTGCTTTTGCCATTTTGCACTTTCCGAGTGCGGTTCGCAATTCTTGTATTGTGAAAGGTTTTGTAAAAGTTTCTTGGTGGGGGCCCACTTGTCATAATATTGTAATTTTTAATGTCATTTGATTCCAACAAAGCATGCTGATGAAATAATTTGAATAGAAAAACTAGTTTTCCAGCTTTCTCAACCCCAAATCAATTTCTAATTTCTAAAAAGTAATATTGAATAAAGATGAAATTTATTATTATAAGCTTGTGCAAGCATAATTATTATTTAGAAATAATATATTATGTGACTAATAATACATAAAATCCAACAGAAGTTATTTTGTTAGCAAGTGCTTTAAAAAATTAATACCGGTAGATTATATAATCAAATATTATTTAAATCAATGTTTTAAATCGGTTGATTTAGAGCATCTCATCACTGTACGAAAATGAATTGACCACCTTGAATTTTGTCTGGTTTGTATTGAGTCTTCAATGCCTCCAAAAACTGATTGTAAAATAGCTGTGCAGCTCCAGGGGCCATTGCATCACTGAAGTCTGGCTTATTTCCCTTTAATCTGGCCTCCAGTGTAAACTGCATGATAAATAAGTTAGGGTCATTTAACCTTGTTAAAATTTAACCTACAGTACATAGAAATTAAAAACATTAGACTTCAGACAGATCCTGGGTTGTGCACAAAGTTATTTTATTGAGGTTTAAAACTGTTGGCTGTGTTACAGATGTCGTATATAAGCATCCCCTTGTATAGCTTTCAGTTTTCATGAATAGCATGGATTTGATTGACCAAGACATTTGTGATTTATTCTCCACAATAACAAGGATGGAAAGGAAGCATGTATTTATTTGAATATTTTAGTATGCTCTAACAATTAAAATATACCGGTACTTAAATATAACTGTCACGGTCAGATCGCGTGAGTTTTTCTGTGTCAACTTTTATAATGTTAATTTGGGTGAGTTTCTTTTCCCCGTGTGCCCCACGAGTTTTTATTTTTCTCGGTCAAGGTATGACCGGTGTGCTGTGTCGGGAGGAACCACGTGTGTGAGATGAGTTTTTAAGGAGTGAACAGTGGCGAGTGCTGTGGATATGGTGTATGATTTTTGTCTTGTGAAGGCAGTGAGTTTTCCTACGGATGGAAAAGGACTTGTGTAAGTGTAACTTTAACTGCTTTGTATAGTATGTGGAGTTTTTTTATTCTGAACACCAGAGCTTATTTCTAATAAAGTTTTCCATTGTTAGACACACATAGCCAATGAATAAGAAAACCTGAATGCCTGAATTGTTTGTTGATACTTGGAGCAAGAGTCAGCTCTGTAGGAGCTGGAAATAAAGGGGTTCTAGACCCTTGAAAAATTGTTCTGTGGCTAGTACGCAGGGGACCGACCTCTAGACAACGTACGTCACGTCACAATAACAAGTATGTAAATGCAATAAACTTGTTTAAAAATCTATTTCAAATTAAGCAATATCTTGAATATTTTTTAAACTTTAAATTATGGCCTCTATTTTCAAATAATGATAGTTTTCATTAATCATCATGTAACTGTGAGCTTTGCACACTTACAAATTTAATTAAAATCTTTTTGCTAAGTCACATACATACCATAGTTCTATCAAAAAAGTCAAATGTATATTTCAATCATAAAAGGTGAATTTGAAACTAGGTTTACCTGACTGATGCAGAGAACTTCATATCCCATATCCATGACACTTTTCATCCATCTTTTGTCAGACTCATCACTAAATAATCTGATATTCAAAATTTTCCTCACTCTACAAAAAAAGCATTAAATAAAAATGTTTCAATAAATGAAATAGGATAATATATTTTTTTAATGATACTAGTACTAGTACTAGATGCCATGAATAAGCCAGGGCTTTAAGAATGATGAGTAACATTTTGAAAAGATATTTGCCAAAGAGTTTCAAATGAAGGGGCACTGTCATTTAATAAACCTATTCACACTTTAGTCAGATTTCCAACTAATTCTTTCCTTAAAACTCACATATATTCCATTTCTTTTTCTGTGTCATGATGGGAGATTCCAACCAAAACACATAATCCACGTCCGATAGATCCAACCGTTTCATTATCAACTAGAAGTTATTTTAAAATATTCAGGTATAAATTGTGTAAAAATACTCAAATTGTTACAACCTACCACGTATAATCTCATATAAGTCTCACTTTTTTTACCAAAAATTTTTTAAAACATGAATGTGACATCAATTTTGCTTACCGTTATTCAGTGTGGAGTAGTCATTTGTAAAAAATTTAAATCATTTTCTACCTTGCTCTCGATTATGCTAAAAAAATGTTTAATAAAAATCACTTAGCTTATGATGATTAATTTTCAAGTTGTTATAGAAACATTTTTGTTGCCAGTATATCTGTCGGACAAATTTTAGGTATTATATAAATTAAAAAGGGTCATGTAACACCCCGAGCTAAGGGTGCGACCTTTATACTGTTGTGACCTATACTTGAGTATATACAGTAGATTATTTTTCAAAACCTAAGTAAATTTTGTAAATTACAGTTTTTATGTGTAATAATTAAATAATGTTTTGTTTGTTTAAAAAAACACTTAGTTTTAGGATCTTTGAATTAGGATCAACACAAAATGAGAAATAAAAATACACAAATCTTAACAAATTACAAAGCAATCATAACAGCTGTACCAGAAAATGTAAAAAAACAAACAGAATAAGTACCGATACCAATAACAATAACAAACAAGAAACTAACACAACAGCTGTACTAAAAAAAATAATAATAAGAGCAACTGTACCAGACAAAAAAAATCAAAATAACAGCTGTGATAGATATAAGTAAACATAACTTACATAACAGCTATGATGGTGTACAAATTAAAACAGCTATAATAGTAGAAATTAATTAAACAAGTATGGCAGACTAGAAATTGACATTACAGCTATGATGGTCTAGAAATTAACATAACAGCAGCTGTGATAGACTAGAAATCAACATCACAACAGCTGTGATAAGTAACAATGTGATCAAGTCATTAAACAACTGTACCTGTGACACTTGCTTTAATTACTCTCTGAATTATTGCCTTCATTTCCTGGATGAGGTGTACAAAAGGTCAAGATGATAATGAAAAACACTAAATCTTTACATTATATAATGAAAAGTAATGCCAAGCTCAAAAATTTTATTTTGTTGAAGTTCAACAGGTATGCCAAGGGCTGTTTGAGCAAGGAATGTAAGACTAGCATCAATATTTGTCAAATTTTGTTTGGCCAAATGGAGCAAAATCAGAAAATAGGTTAAGTATAAGGTAGGGCAAAGCCTTAAAAAATACATAGCAAGATAGGAAAAAGATCTATAATATATTAAATTTAACTATAAAATATTTTAATTAAGCGTCATTTTGACTTATTATTTTTGGGATGTCATGAAACTGAAGGTGTAATCAATATTTATTTTTAATGAGACGTTTTGAAGATAAAAACAATTTCTAATAGGAAATACTGGGTAGAAAACATAATAATACTTAGTAATTAATGCTTAATATTAGTGTTTTTTTCAGTTTAGACAACTCTTAATTATGACCTTAAAAGTCAATGATACAACATTGACCTTGAATGAGGGACCAAACAGAAAACTGTTAATTGATTTACGCAACAGACAGAGTCTTGCAGCAAGCTGAGACACATTCTTAGTTTTTCTGGTTATCCTGAATCGACACAATTAGATATAAGATATATGATATAGGCCTTCCTATTTAATCATTTAATTCAAATTAGCTGTATTTTTTCAAACATTCTTTCTTACAAATTGGTTTAAGGGGCCATCCATAAATGACGTCACGCATCTAAGGGAGGGAGGGGGGGGGTGTCAAATTTTTGTGATCATGTGTGATGAGAAGAAGGGGGGGGGGGGCTTATGCAATGTGACCTCACATGAAAAGTGGAATATTATAATAAAGAATTGCACTTAATAACCTTAAATTACAGCTATTTTTAACATTATTCTTTGATACAGCAATTATAATTATTTTATTTTCAAACTACAATCACTGAGAGAACCAGTACAGGTATTCAAGTTCAAGGTCCAAAAAAATGGCCTCTGATCAAGTTACAGGCCGCCACAGACGGGGAGAAAATGGGTGTAGTGATATTGACAGTCGTGAGAATTGATGTTAAAATGTGGAGACGGCAGTCATAGAATTAGGACTACCACATGAAGTGAGAGGGAACAAAAAAAATTGGTTGACCCGGGGAAGGGGCCTGTATCTTAGTAAATGCTCTAGGGCAGGGATTCTTAACCTTTTTGCAGTACTGCAGGCCCACTCTGTTTTAAACACCACCCCTTCCATCCATCCATCCATCCCTGTGGCGCTACAGCCCATGTAGGGCTTTGGCCTGCCTCACCACTTCCTTCCACTCAGACCTAAATAATGCCTTTCTTTTCCATGCTTGGACTTTTAGCTGCTGTAGATCTTTTTCCACATCATCTATCCACCTAAGACTAGGTCTGCCTTTGAGCCTTTTTCCTCTGGGGTATTGGTGATGCACCCTCTTTGTTCCTCTGTCATTTGGCATTCTCTCTAGGTGTCCTGCCCAGCGTAGCCTGCCTCTTTTTATTTCTGCTACTATCGTAGGATCCTGATATAGTCTGTATAATTCATGGTTGGATCGTATTCTCCATGTTTCTGTTGATTGGCTTTCATAACATTGTTTTTTTTTTACATGGCCTGCGCACAACCATCTGGGGGGTTGCCCCTTACAGCTCTCTGGATAGCTGCCACCCCCTCCAACCATATAAATTATATTGTAATAAAATTTAAAATATGAAAATAATTAAATAATTTAGTTATCATAGTTTTATTTCTTTACTTAACTTTTTATAAATAAGGAAAAAAATGACCAAAACAAGTAATGCGCACACAAAATTCACCAGAAAAACATTTACTTCTGCTAATCAAAATGCATAAAATCTGTTTTCTTTAAAAAAAGCAGCAACAACTAGCAATGGCAGAAAATACAATTTTCTGGTCTTCTGCACATCATGTCTGAGGAGGTACTTTTATCCCTCATTAAGAAACACTGTTCTAGTGAAATGTTTCTGACACAGGTGCAGTAATTTGATATCTATGGGAGGTGAATTCCTTGAGGGTTTTTAAAGAAAAGTAGAGGACACAGGGAATTTTTATGGCGGGTGCAGAAATCAGTGACATTATATTTTAGCGGGGTTCTAACTTTGTGACGAGATTGGGGGGGTTAAAAATCACAACATTTGCGTGACACCATTTATGAATGGCCCCTAATACTAATTTCCATTAATGCTTTTCGCCATCAACAATCATTCAATGCGGAGCAGCCACCAGGATTTATGAGTAGACTCAGTGAGTTAGTTGAGTAAGAGGTAGAACAGCCACCAGGATTTATGAGTAGACTCAGTGAGTCAGCTGAGTTAGAGTTGGAGCAGCCACCAGAACTTATGAGTAGGCTTAGTGAGTCAGTTGAGTTAGAGTTGGAACATCCACCAGAATTTATGAGTAGGCTCAATGAGTCAATTGAGTTAGAGTTGGAACATCCACCAGGATTTATGAGTAGGCTCAGTGAGTCAGTTGAGTTAGAGTAAACAATCTACCAAATTCAAACACTTCGACAACTGCCACTATAATAATTAACCGACTATAAAATAAATTTCCTATAGCCTAGAGGCTATATATAGGCTGTGTTATTCTGAATATTCATTATTCATCTTTGTCTTTAACTTTACAGTTACAGTTTACAGCTAGCCAACTTGCGGTCAAAATTCACTGTTTCCCACTCTTAATTATTTGTGATTTTAAACAGTGTGCGCCAAATCGGTATTTTTAAATTTGTTTATTTTTCTAAAAATTAAAGTAAACTCATTTTCAGTCTTGCAAACTCAACTCATTTTCAGTTTTGCAAACTCAACAGACAGTACTGACAACCGAAACTGAATCATCAGCTGGTCAGAATGATCCTTGTCCTGAATTAGAAAGGCAGGAATTAGAAATTCCTTATAACTACAATAAATAGAAAGTGGGTGATATATATTTAATTAAGTTAGCCCTACTTACCAGGGCGTTATTTCATTTAGGGTATTTAATTCTTCATTCTTAAAAATATTTTGCCTAAAACTTTTAATAAAGTCACTGCTCTGCAAAGAAGCAAAGAAAACGGGAGAGCTCCACAAGATTTTTCTGAATCTTCAGCACTTGAAATAACATTTTGTAAGGCTTGGGGTGTTGCTAGGTGACCTCTTTAGTACTGCTCTGTGCAGTGTGTTCATTCTAATCGGAAACGATTGCTTTTTTTCAATTAGAGAGATACTACAAAATATCATTTATCCATAATTGGTAGGTAAGCCATATGTTTTTATTTCCATGCTTGTTATTCATTTAGCTATAAATAATAACTAGAATTCTAGTAGGGCTCATATATAAATAATTATGTCAATTTATGTCATGTTTAAAAATCGTTAAATTTTCATGGCCCACCATCACAACTGTCAGTCTACCTTCTACAGTTACAGCCACGTTACTATTAATGACAGTACTATTACTTCTACAGTCAGTGCAGTCAATCTCTAACTTTTTACTAATTGTTAATAGTTATGTTTAGTTTTGATTTGAGTCAATGGGTTTTAATTTGTGTTAAAAGTTTCATTTCATAATAGAGAGAGAGACTGAGAGAGTGTTTGTTATTTTCTTCATGATCATGTCATATTAAGTTACTTAAAGGTTTCCATAGTCCATAGTACTTGTGATAAGACATATTTCAACCAGGTGCATCTTTTGGCAGAGTATGTTCTGTCAAGAGTTACGACATAAGTTTGTGGGATCCATTCTAGTCTAGCAGTTGTAGTTTAGCATAGATAAATAATAAATATAGATATAATAGAGTACTATCAGAATAAAGAGGGTGTACTTTACAATACTTTACATTAGATTTGCATCATTAAATTATAATATAATATATAAATTCAAATTCAAAGTGTTCACTTATATATTCCACCATCATCCTGATCTAACCAGTTGCATGTCTGTAAGTCACATGACATTAATCCTTGACAGCTATCTAAATATTTGATAGATCAGTTTTATCACATTAATACTCAATACTGTATGTTTAAATAAGATAGATATAGGTTTTAAAATGCATGTTTAAAAAAAAATAGTTATTAATCTTTTACATGTTCCTCGCTAATGCCTTCTCATAGCAATGACTGAGGCTGAGAGTTCACACTTTCGTGGTCCAGAGCCAGTATGTATTACTTTGGAAAGAGTCAAACATATGGTAAAAAGTGTTTACATTACCTTAACTCCTTTAGCAGATTTTTTTAAACATTTTAATTTTTTTTTTGTGCTTCTGTGGGTTTAATGTTATCAATTCAAAGTCTATGAGTTATACCTCCAAACTTGGCAATAAAATGATAAAAATATTAGAGTTTTAAGATTTTTTTATTTTAAGAATTTAATTTAGTAAAATATATATTGCAATGTAAAGATTTTAATATTTAGTGAATATATTCTGATTTTGTAAATAGTTATTATTTATGTTTATTTTTTTTACTTTATAGCACAACATATAATTATAAATAGTATGAAGATGTTGTGATATATATATATATATATAATATATATATATATATATATATTTTGTACATTTTATAGAGAGGTTCAAGAAGTGAGGGAGCCACTGTCTTTATAAAGTTTGAACTCGGTGAACGTTTGCTTGGGGAAAGCCCAAAGATTGAGTGCACACCTGATGTCTCTGCTGAAAGTAATTTTAACACATTCCTTAATATCATCTATGATGATCCGTCCTGTCTTGATGAGATAACTAACAGGCCAGTTGTCTGTGAGTACTGCACATGTTAACTTATAAAAAAAATAAGGTATTCTATATTCTGACTGAATGAGGCAATTAGCTTAGCCCAATAAGTAATTATGAATGAAAAAAACGTTTTTACTAGTGTTCAATAAACATGGCTCTATGCCAATAGTGGATTTTAAAATGTTTTAACAGAAAACTAGTTAATAAGTGTGACACAGTCGCTTCATCTTTAGAAATATTAACACTCTGTGTACCACCATACTTGCTTCATCTTTAGAAATATTAACACTCTGTGCACCACCATACTTGCCACCCTGTCCAGTACCATACCTTGCCACCCTGTCCATTACTATACCTTACCACTCTGTGCACTAACATACCTTGCCACCCTGTCTACTACCATACCTGGCCAAGCTGTGCACCACTATAACTTGCTATTCGATGCACTACCATACATTGCGACCCTGAAAAAAAAATGTATTAACGATTTACATTTTCCCGATCTCTCACATTTTTTAAAAACATTTTATTAAATCTCTGTAGAGAAAACTTCCATTTGAACTTATTTGTTTCATACATATTGGTTTAAAACAATTTGGTTTCATACTAATGTCTAATAACCCCTCTAAATATAAACTAACCCTTTCCCAGATCAATAATAATAATTCTTTTAACCATCATTCTGATTTTTTTCACAATAATGACAATTTTTCTTAAAGTTGCAATGCATTGTCTTCAGTGACAGTTATTGAAGTTTTGCCAAAGGAAAAGCGACAAAAGGAAGAAAGAACTATAACACTTGGACAGTGCTGCTTAGATTTGTCTCCCCTTGTAAAAGGCAAGAACTCTTGATTTGTTCAATGAAAAGGCTAATTTTTCATTATTTTAGGAAGTTTCGAAAAGTATGTTTCATAAAATTTATAACTTCAAACATTTGAAAACTTGGTTTACTTTTTTAGTCTTTTGATTTCTTAATATAAGGAGATAAAGAGTTGACTATTAGAAATGTGCTTGAAGTTTTCATACTTTCTGTTAGTTGAGTGTAAGGGTTGCTCCCAATAGACTTCAGTGTACTAATGGAGAGTAAAGGGGATGTATAGAAGTAAATAGGGGAAAGATTTCCACAATCTATGAAAGAATGGGGAATCAGCAATGCCTAATTCATGTTTTCATATTTTTTAGTATTGACAAAAGTTTTCATTACAATTAATCCTCAGAAAAATCAATCAATACATCCCAAATGACAACGTGAAATATGTGTTATAATTAATTTAAAACCAATTTGTAATATAAATTTAAATTTTGTTAACAGATTTACAAAAAATAAATGTTATCTTTTATTTACATTATAATTTTTTCTTGAAATATAGTATTTAAAAGCAACTGTTTTATTTTGTTAGGATGCACAAAATTGAAACAAACTCTGCAAATTCTTCCTGTTCCTGGATCTCCTTTGGACAATCTCCCACCAGACATTACTAAGGTGAGTTGGTCGAAATTTATTAGAAGGCTCATTTCCATTTGAATTAAATAAATTCATTATTTTATATGTTGTTTTAAATTCAGTGATATGGGGGAAAGCTAGTCTATTAAAATCAAACTAAAATTGATTATCTTATTCTCTTTTTTTAAAGATTTCACTTTCCTTCATCTCACATTTGGTAAACAATTTTGCTGGCTTCCTGAAATTTTGTTTCTAATTAATTTTCTTGGAGTTGGTATCATTTATTAAACAATAAGATGTGTTGTTTTTTTTTCAATTTGAAGAGTTCTTTATTTAATTTTCCAGCCTGAGGTAGACATTAAAATATCTGTCAACCAGCCATTGTTAGATGAAGCCCAACTCCAAGGAAGTAACATTTTAACCATATCAGTTGGTGGACTCTTATCTCCCCCTGAGTCATGGGCCACCACTGGGCCACAGTTCACTTATAGTGCTTCTATTTCTGTCCCCATCAGTGAAGAGGTGAGTTGAAATCTAATTAATAACATACAAGAGATTGTCCTTCCAATGATGAAGTGATGTAACCAAAGAGGGGATAAACATTATTTTAATTTTTTTACATGCAAACTATAAAAAAAACTTATTTTAAAGTTTTTTTATGATCCTCCCTCTTCGGCAAGGCTTGAAGATATGACATTGTTTCTCCCCTTAGCTTTGTAATTATAAGATTTTTTTTTTAAATTTCTAGCTTACATATTTGTACTCAGTGAAAAGTGATTGATTCATTTAGCATTCAAATATTAATACTTAAACAAAACTAATGATACAGATATTGCTATGCCATAACACCCAATGATACTAGATGACATCCCTTATAATTGTTGCAGAAAGATGCAACTGTCGTGTTTACAAATGGTGCCTTAAAGCCAGCTCAGGACAAAGATGCACACAATAAACAAAAAAAGTGGGCTAACCCTGGAACAGCTGTGGGTCAAGCTGTCTTTTTACCTGACAGGTCAGTTGAGATAACGACATGACCTTTCTACTTTGATTTCTTTCTTTCACTAAAATAGATTAACACAAAAGGCATGGTCAACGATCAGTCATATATTTGTTTAAATTTCAATGTGCATTTTTTGGGAGGGAAGAAAAAGTACAATTAGAGTTTTGACATTATTGGTTTTGTCCCTCAGCATTGGGGAAAAGAGGGATTTGATTTTTTCACCAATATTTTAAAATGTCATTCATTGAAATCAAGGCTGATTTGATGGATAAAATTGAAAAAGCCTCAAAAAATTCAATTGAAATATGCCTAAAATTATATTGATGAAAGGGTCATTAAATTTACTCTGTAAAAAATATAAACAAAATGTTTGAAATTGTTTTCTGTGAAATAAACATTTCATTTAGATGTTAATGTTGGTTGGTGGGATTACAGATTTTGTAATGCTTACATAATGAAATATACTGTTAATTACTGTTAGTTAAACTGGGGACTACTATTTATTGACAAAATTATACAAAAATTATTTAGAACAGAGATGTTTAATTAAGGAATTCAAAAACATAGCATGTACCCTTGATGATCAAAAGCATAATGCTTGCTAGCCAAGTGGATATTTTAACCCCATCTGCTGTTAAAGTGATGGTATCTTAATTGCATTCTTTACTCCATATTAAGAATATAATATTGACAATCTCTATGGAGAGAAATTTAACATTCAGAACCATTCAATTGTCTTAAAATATTTAGACCATATAACATTTAAATATGACACTTCATCTGAATGCATTGCATAGGATTTCACTTACCTTTAAGTCCACTTGGTTAAAATCTTAAAGTACTGAGGAAATTCATTATTCCATAAAAATTCATGAATCTTAGGACACAGTATCATTCTTATACGTATTTATAGTTTACTATTTTATAATAATTTTACACACCTAAATAGTCAGCAAGAAAGTTAACAAAACAAATTAATTTAAATATTTTCTTTCTAGTTATTTATTCAGTGATCCTATAGATGAAGAAGATGGAGACTTAAAATCAAAGGAAGACCGTGAGCATCGCATTATAGCAGAAACAGAGAAACTCCATGTCACATGGAACATGGAGAGAAGATGTTATTTAAACCCATCTGCTGTTAAAGTGTTAGTATTCATTACATTCTTCATTCCATATTATGAAAGCCTTTTGTACGTTAAATGAAATTTGTAAATGTCCTTAAGGTTTCATGTGATTCCATATTTTAGTTTACAGTTTACAGAACACCAATGTTGGTTATTATTATTTAGAATTATTGGTTTTCTGTACATAAACAAAAGCTTATTTCATATTACTATAATTAGAATTGGATTTTTTAATTAATGCCCAATGGACAAGGACTTAATTAACAACAGACTGCGCTTTAAAGTGTCATGTTTGTAGATCATTTTCACTATTTTGTAAATCAATAAAATGTCTAATAAATATATAAAAAAAAATTTTGTGGATTAGGCCACTGTTATTAAAATAGTATCATGCTTATTGCCATCACTTAACTTACACTAGAAAATATCTGTCAAAAAATATGATAGCTTCTCCACTTTAAACAGCTTAGTATTACAGCTTTTTAAAACAGCTTGTTAAAATGGCACCAAGACAAAAATAGTTGAGAGGAAAGGGGAGAAAATTTTCATCTGGGATGTTTTGGTACAGTGGCTTTCCAGATTTCTAAATTTAAAAATAGCAGAAAGCAGGAAACAATTCCTAAAGATAAATATGTGATACGCAAAGGTCTGTTTTTAAAATAATGACCCATTAATGATTGTGTTTATTTATTTGAAGTTTTAAGTTAAATAATTACTGTAAATTATATTAAATTAATGGTCTAATTAATTACCATAAACTCATTTGTAACTTCTTTAAAAAAAATTGAATTTAATTTTCTAAAATAATTAAAATAATTTGATCGTTTATAATTGACCAATATATGCCTTTATATTGTCAGAGAATTATTATCTTGAAATAGTTATGAAATCAAATAAATGCCAGATTACCAATAATCTGTTTGAATTGTTAGGTTTCAAGAATCAATTGGCAGATGTCGTTACTGGCCACTGGAAGTCATGAGGTATCCAGTGCCAGTAGTAAGCAAAAGTAAAAAGGTAAGATTAAAGAATAACAAAGACATATAAAAACTGAAACTAAAGCTTTCATAACTATACATCAACCAGCGGAAAGTTAACAAAATAAAAAGTGGTTTTAATATATTTTGTGTTTATCTCTTGCTTTGATTTATTTCTTGTCAGCAGGGGCAATTTTTCTCAACTGTAAAATATGAGCCATTATCGTTATTGTTCAAACACTATAGATCAAGATTTACCATCACATATCTTTGAGTTTTGAAGCAAACATGAGAGGTTTTTGCAAGAGTTTAATATGGAATATGGAATATAACAGACACATTCATTTTTGTTCAAATCTTCAAGTCACCATCAGCACAAAAATAATTAGTCACAATGAGAAATAATGACCTATATAAAGTTGATACTAAAATAAAGGTAGATAATTAAATCTCACTTTGAAATTCACTTCTCTAGAAATTTGGTTTTCTAAACTTTGAGCCTGTTTGTATCTCTCATTAACTTTTCTTCTGTTTTTGTAGAGCTGGTCACGTAAGGTAAAAAATAAAGGAATGCGTCTCTGACTGTAATAGCTCAGCCTAGTTATACCAGTAGATTTTCTGTCAGCATTATTATTAGCATGTCTTGTTTATACAGAAAACAATGTGCTTAGTCTTATTCATTGTAAACAATGTAGAACAGATTTATGGATGTTTCCAATTTTTGGGGATAGTTAAAATTATTTTTCAACTTGAGTCCACTACCACATCTACAATTCTCTTATGGAAACTTCCACTACCTCTCCAAAACTGATCCCAAACCCACCCCTCCACTTAAACATTTCACTTAAGCTCAAACTCCTCTCTTTGAACCAAGTCACCAAAAAAAATTCATCACTTCTCTCTTGACTCCTCCCTTATAACTACCTAATTATAACTACCTAATTTCCCTACATGCTTCTCCTGACCCAACTCTCTCTGTCCCAACCCTCTCCCACCCCTCTCACAACCCTCTCCCAAATCTCTTAAAACCTTATCCACTACACATTTCCCCATTCATCTAATTTTTTGCATTATTAATTTCTATTAAGTCAATGCTCAGCACCTTAGAATTAAGGATTATAGTTTTATTATTTCAATGAATAACATTAAAGATTAAAACAGATGTCAAATATCTATATTTATATTTCACACTTATAACACATTAAATATATGTTCATTAGTTTTTTAAAATGATTTTTGCACAAAATTTATTTGGGAAGAAAAACTGAGATGTTTTGCATTTAATGTTTTAAAATCACTAATAGATATTCAGAATTTAGGGTGAAGATATTTGGAAAAATTTTCCCTACACAATTCTTGGGTCATCAGGTGTGATCAAAGCAAATTGGTTGTTGGTATTTAAATCTATTTCTACCTTTTCTTTTACATTAAATAATGAGTGACCATTGTCTATAGATATGTTTTAGTCTCTATTCCATTTGATGTCATTTCTGATAGAATTCCCAGGCCACTTTGTTATTTGCAGCGGTAAAAACTGAATTAACTGTTTTTTTAGTTGTGTTTTTCCTTGACTACTTAAATTATTCTTTTGTAATTGTTATTTGCAGCGGTAAAAACTGAATTAATTGTTGGTTTTTAGTTGTGTTTTTCTTTGACTACTTAAATTATTCTTTTGTAATTTGCACCTTTATTGTAAGAAAAAAGGTGTATTGGCTACTATATATATGAGAAAACATTTTTGTTAAGTTCTTAATTCTGGGGTTAATAATTTATTGAAACCTGACAATGCCACTTGTAAATGTGATAACTTAATGTAACATTTTTTTCTTACACACCAGTGAGTTTATAGGTTGGTTTAGGAGCTCCCACTCATCACAAAGTCAGACCTGACTCATATTCAATCACAAACTTTTACAATGATCATAAACAGCCATATTGGGGATTAGAAATAAACCTTGATTTAAAAAAATAAATTTAACTTATTGTCAATTTTTGTAATGCATATTTAATATGAAGCACATTAGTTATAATGGAAAACTCAATTTAGAATTAATTTATTTAAAATATTACCTTCTTCAAAAATATGATAGTTCTTATGATTTTAAAATATTTGAAATTCTCAAACTTTCCTGGTATAAGAATTGGATTAAAACTTTATTTGATTTTATTATTAATCATTTCGAATCATAAGCTATTTATATAAAATTATTGTAAGTGAATTTAAAATAATGTTAAAACATTGATCTTAATGTTGATAGTAACACATCTAAATGCCAATGATCAGTAGTCAAATAATTATAACAATTAATTAATTAAAATTACTCTTTTTATAACCATTCTGTTATTTTAAATTCTTGCATTAAGTGATGTCACATTTCTCAACCCCCACCTAGCCCTTCATTCTGACCCTAAATTACTTGTGGACAGCAAATTTGTATAGTTATTGCATATTAATAATTTACATATACTATTGTCTTATTGTAGACTGCAGGTTGGTACAGTGCATTCATTGCGTCAATGTAGACTTCATGCAAATAGTTATCAGTCCAATTTCATTGAAAATAGGTCCTGATTTATGATAAGTCAGTTTAAATTAGTTGAAATATTACCACACAAAAAATTATACCTCCATAAATTACTATTTGTATTTCATTCATTTACAGGATGAAGAAAATGCAGCCAGCTTCCATGGTGTGGCATTTTTAAACCTAGCACCACTACTGTACCCAGGAGGTAAAGTTTTCTGGAGAAAAAAAAATTGAAACCATTTTTTTTTATTGGTTAAACATTGATATGTATATAACTTTTTGAGTCTTAAAAAATATTAAGAAAATAAAGATCAAATATTAGTTTGAACACTTAAGGGGGAAAAAACGAACATTTATTTAAATTCTTAATAATTTTTACATCTAAGTTCTGATATTATTACCTGTGTATTTTAGGGGTCACAATTTTTTTTTTTTATGTGACAAAAACTGTTGGTAAATAATGTTTATAAATGTTTTCAGTGCAGCGTATCAAAGGTGCTTTCAAAGTTGTAGCATTCACAGACAATGTAGTCTCTGATAAGGTATTTTTTGATGAGGGCATTGTATGAGTGAAGTTTATGAGAGAATGGTACACTTGTTGAGATTTTAAGGTGAAATGTCTTTCGATTTTTAGCTTTAGCTTAATTAATGCCTCAATTACATTTTTGTTTATAATTAGTCTAAAGAATTGTTCTGAAGATACTGGTCTTTGTATTAGCCTCCCTATTCTCAAAAATAATGTAAATATTCGTAAGTGTTCAGAGAGTTGTTCATAACCATGTTAGGAGAAAGCTATTTACACATATGCAAAGGGTGAATGTATGGTCAATATGTAAGCATAGAGAGAGCCTTGTTGATACATTTGTTAGCACAGATTTTTTTTATGCATATGCAATGAATGTCAGCTTGAGTTGAACTAATGAAGTTAATTTGAAAATAATGCACTGTACATAAGTTGACTACTGTTTGTACAATTGTATGCAATTAAATTATTTATTATTTTAAATAAAAGTTATGTACACTTATATTGAACTGCAACAATTTAAACTTCTTATTAAGACTAATTTGTATAATGCGTTGTGCCTTCCTTTTAGTAACAAGCTTGTACCCTAATTTGTCTGTCATCCTGAACTACAGATTAAAAGAAAGACAATGATTAGTGATGATGGTGTAAAACAGGCACCAGCTGTTCTCTCAAGAACAGTCAACTCACCTATAGCAAAGAAAAGTATGAAGGAGGGAGAAAAAAAAGATCAAAAGAAAGTAAGTGTAACTAAATTAAGGGAGGGAGGTATTGTGCTATAGATTCAAAGGCAAGATTAATATATTTATGGATATACATTTATAGAAAAAAAATGCAATTCTAATTGATAGATTTTTGTTTCCATTGTTTAAATTGTTTATATGTCATTAAAATCTCTTATCATTCCCAAAAAATATTTACTTTATGCAGTTTTATTTATTTTAATGAATGTTCTGTTGCATTTTCTTATTATTATTTATCTGGTGTGAGTTTTTCCAATAGAATGAGGTAAACCTATTTTCCCCATGCATGAGGTTTTGAAATTTAAAAATAAATAATTTCCAAATTTTTTTATTTGCTACACTAAATACTCCTAACGCAGAAATTGTATGATAATTGATTACCATACTTTATAAAATATGTAATCAAACCCCTCCCCCCCCCCCTACCAAAAAGAAATTCACAACAACAAAAAAAAACTTCATAGCCAGATATTTAATGCTTTCCCAGAAAATCTGAGGTATGCAGGTATAAAAAAATGCATTGTTTAAATAATTAGCTTTTCTCTACAGCGACCAGGGAGTTTGGTCCCCCCATCTAGTGAGGCAGAGGTAAAAGTTGCACTAAAATCATTGCAGTCTAACTCAGTTGGTCTCAACTTGCAGCTCTTGTAATGAATAAGTGTGTCTCTTTTATGTGTGTGACAATCCTCCTCATAAAAGATGTAAACTTGACTGCTTATTTCCTATGAATACTGTCATATGAGAAATTGTGAAATGATTTAAACTCATACTAAATTACTGATTTTTGGAATAGCTTAACTTATTAATTATGCAATTGAATCAAAACTAATTCAAAATTACTTACCCTTTGTCTTTCTGCAAATTTTATGTATACTATTTTAAAGTGTGAAAGTTATTCTTGACTATAAACATTTCAAATAAAGTTCATGGGTGGCATTGTTATTGTCTTGTATCCTTTGGAAAATTTTGTATAAAGAATTGGTATCAGCAGAATTATTTTATTTCAAACTGACTTCATGTTTTAACTGCTATGAGAATGAATCCTAGAAACATTGGTGTTGTTTAGAATTAATGATATTGATCAGGAGACAGCAGAAATGCTATACATACTTTAATGTGTTTATTCAATGGGGATTATCAACAAAAGGATATAAATGTGACAGTTTGCTTTTCTTCTGAAAATATTTGAATGAAAATCTAAATTTCATAACAAGATTCAAGAGATTACCATTAAAATTCTCTATTTACAACTTATACATACATAATTATATATTAAGATGTAAGCCTAGTAGTGGCTAGTAATATATAATTAAAGTCGTCATATAAAATCAAACAAAAGCTTTGCAACCAATGAAGCAAGAAAAAAAAGTCTTGAAAGCTTTAGAAAAAAATTCTTTCTTCTTATTATTAAAAATTATTGTCAAGTTTTAGTTGTATAAATCTTAGCCTTTCATGTGACTTTGTTTTTACAAGACAGAACTTACCAAACAAAAGATTATTTGGAGAAATGATATATTCAGTGCAATATAAAAAAAGAGCTTGCAATATAAAAAAGAGCTTGCAATATAAAAAAGAGCTTGCAATATAAAAAAGAAGCTTGCAATATAAATTATGGTGTGTGATTAATCTCTATATTTCTGTGTGTTGTGGTGTGCCTACATAGGAAGTGCTAATTTGTGGAAGGGGAGCAAAGCAGTCTTATGTTTTACAATTGATACATTTTTTAAACATTATTTAAAGGTTTTTATTAGGAAGAAGATCCTTGTTGTTTAGATATTATTTTGAATGTCCTCCATACCTGTCAAATGGTATTGAAATGTAGTATAACAACTGTAAACAAGATTTTTAAGACAAGTCCTGTGATCAACTTAAGTTATATCAATATTTTAATTACTGTAACAAACACCTGAAGTACTCCACACCTGATTGAATTTATTGTCAACATTTTAATATTGATTTAAACTATGTAATGAAATACTATTTTATTGAGAAAAGATTAACCAGAATACTATTATTAATACTTTTTAAAATATATATATATTTTTTTAAATAAGGGCTTATTATGTTATCTTTTTAAAACATCTACAAGGGGTAACAATTGCATGTATGTGATGGGTGTACACTGATGTAATGTGAACATGTGTTAAAAAGTTTTTTTCTAAAAGTACTAAATCATCGCTTTGTTAAAATCATTGTCATACATATCCATAAATTTGATAAATCTAGAAATTTCTTATTATTATCATTTTAAATCGAATTTTTTTATTGTGATTTGTAAAAAAAAATTTTAAATTTTTTGTCAGAATAAGATTATAATTGCTCAATTTACACACAATGCATCCAGGCAATTTATGAACTTAATCGTTGTAAGTACCTAGAAATTGTCAGTTTGTTGACTTGTTTATGTATCTACTTGTCTTCTTTCTTGTAATATCTTGGCCTACAAGTCTTCTCTCTATACATTTCTAATGTTTTTACATTTTTGCTTTAGATAATAGGAAAAGCATCAGATTTAATGAATGATACAGACAGCCAACAATCTATGAAACTGGATGCTGTCCAGTACATTGAAGCAAAGTCATATGTCATGATTGAAATATCTCTGGATAAACCACTTGTTCCAAAGCGACCTCCAGAAGCATTGGCCAAAAGGTTGGTTGACTTCATTTTTTAATAAACCCTCCGCAGATATTTTAAATCTGGTTTGTGGAATTAGGAGCTTCATTTCAGCCTTGGGGGGCTTGTTAAGTTTTTTTATTACTGGAGGCACCACACTACATAGCAAGTACCTGCAAATTCAGGAGGCGGGGGGCAAATTCCCCACGCTGCCCTACCCAGATGACGTCCCTGTGCGAAAACTTTAAAAGACACCAACACCATTATTTTTTACTCTATGATGTCACTGCTACCCTGATTTTAATTCTAACAGTTTTGCATATTGTATTTCCAAGTATTTTAAATAATTTATATTTAGGGCCTAATTTTTACAGATTTTATAGTCTGCGAATTAAAACTTTTAAATCCTTTCTTAGCTTACGGTGTGCTAGATTTTATCCTTAGGCCATAGTTACCCAATGCCAAATCCATCCATCCATTCCTGTGATACAACGGATGATGTAGGGCTTTGGCCTGCCTCATCACATCATTCCACTCACTCCTAACTGATGCTTTTCTTTTCCATGCTTGTATTACCAACTGCTGTAGATATTTTCCCACATAATCAATCCCTCTTAGCCTAGGTCTGTCTTTTAGTCGATTTCCTCTGGAGTTTTTGTGATGCACCCTCTTCACTCCTCTGTCATTTGGCATTCTTTCTAAGTGTCCTTCCCAGCACAGCCTGCCCTTTTTTTATTTCTGCAACTAGTTGTGAACCTGATATAGTCTATAAAATTCTTTGTTAGTTCATATATTTCATCCATATTCATCCTTTGTTGGTCCATATTATGTTTTTACTTTTGAGTATTTTGTGACTACTGAAGTATGCCTTGTTACCAACTGATATTCTTTATGTTATTTCTGTTAGTAATTCATTTCTTATATTTATTAAGGAACGTAGATATTTGAATTGATTTAATTTTTTAAAAGTGTGGTTTCTAATTTTAATGGTTTCATATGTCGGTTCTTCACTTAACATAGTCATTTATTTTGTGTTTTTTTGGTTGTTAACATCCATCCCTGCTTGTAGTAATGCATCTTCTAATTCAATAAAAGTTGTTGATATATCATTACTACTTTTCTCTAACAGTGCTATGTCATCAGCATATTCAAAATACTAAAGGGGTTGGTTGTAGAGAGAGCCTATTGGTTGTGGGTCTTGGGTTGACCTCAAAAAGTAACCTGTTATTATTCCTCCGGTGTCAATTTGTATGCTTTTTATAACTCTCTCTAATATTAGGTTAAAGGCAGTGAATCTTCTTGTCTTAGACCTTGTCTTAGACCTAATGCCTAACCCTGTCCTAATCAAACAAAGTAGCAAATATAATTAGATGCTTTAAGAAGTTATGTTAATTAAAATTGTGTATATTTTTATTTGCAGAGTAGCTGAGCTCATTCCTCCAAGGCTTGCTTTTCCTAAAAGAACAGATGGAGCTCAGAAAGTAAGTTAAGTTATCTTTACTTGGGGTTATAGAGGAAAATATGTTTGTTGACATTTAACATTAATTTTATCATTATTTATGGAAATTTTATATTTTCAAGGCTGAATAATTTTTGTAGTCCTACTTATATTTTTTTAAAATTACTTTACAATAAATTTTTTTTATAATGACAACAACAGAAATTAAATTGTTAAACGAGCTGTGCTGTTTCATTATGGTACCAGATTAAATTTTAGTACAATCATGACTTAATGATTAATTTTAGTGATTCAAGAAATGATGATTCTCTCTCCTTCAGGCTGTAGAAGACTACCACTCACAAATTGCTAGTGTTGCTAATATTATTTTGGAGGAATTCAGGTATACATTTCTATTTTTATTCATAATTAAAGCTTTTTAAAAGTATAATAATATTTTAATTTTACTAATTATTTGGCTAATTATGATCTAAAGAAATAAAACAATCAATGTTCAGATTTTCATATGTGTCACATTAGCCTTTAAAATAACTTTTAAAAAGTTATAATAAATTATTCTCTGATTAATTTTTTTATTCTTTAAATTTTAGTACATAATATTAAATAGTCCTTTTATCTATGAATCAAGAAATTTAGAATCATTATATTTTAATTTTTTAATAAGCATTTTTTAAAAATATAATATATTTGTTTTTTTAACCTTGAAAATTTGATAACAATAATCTATATAATTATAAAATTTTGATTTACAGAGATTTATTTGGGGATCAGGTTAAAGATAATGAAACCCAATCTGTTGAAGACATGGAGGCAAGGTAAAAAAATATTGTTTATCTCAAATTTCTAGAAATATTTTATTTCCAGGTATCACCTGATCCTAGTCTCTTTTACATTAGACTTTTTTTTTTGTCCACTAAACCAGGAAGCAAAAACTTGTCTATGAACTCAATTCATCTGGAAAATATTTTGCTTTTAAAGAACAGCTGAAGAATTCTGTGGTTAAAATTGTTCGAGAAAAATACCTAAGGACTTCTGGATTTGATGACAGACAGGAGTTACAGGTAAGGAGTTACAATAGAATGATAATCAAAGTATGAACTGTCTGTAAAGCACAACATAGGGACCTCAAAAATAGTTTAATGAATTGGAAAATGTGCAAACAGTAGCTATGTCTGCTACCTACTAAATTATATTAAATACATCAAAGATTATTTTACATTGTCAATTATTTTTAATTATAGTAACTATGATGTAATAATATGCTTAAATCATAATTAAGAATCTCCTTTTTTAAAAACTGAATTTTACATATTTTAATTTAATCAGAATCTATACTTTATAAAATAGTAGGCTATCATAAGTTACAATTTTTACAAATAAATTTATGACACAAATTGAACTACAGTTTGTAAAAACAGTCATTAGACATAATTTTCATTAATAAAATTAATTATTGATCTTGCCTATCGTCCTAATAGTTTCTACTTTTCAAGTTTTTTCTGCAGCAATAGTAAAATGTCTCAGAAAATGTTTTAATTTTATATAAAAAGGGTGCTAATGCTACTTAAAATGTTTAATTTGTATAAAATAATATGCTTATAATTGTTCTGTTTCTATTTATTTAATTTCAGACATTCCTTTCAGAGCTGTATGTTTACCTCATTGACCAGATGCATGTATCCCTTGGCCATGTACTTTCTTTGGAGGACCAGCCTCCTATTCCCAAACCTCTCACAGACCTTGCGCAGCTAAAACATTTTGCCAGGGAAGCAGAAGTCAATCAAAACTTTAATTTGGCTGAAACTTTTTATAAAGAGGTCAGTTCAAAACTTAATTAAAAGAATCAGAAATAAATAAATTAGGCAACTATCTACTTGACATATTTCTTATAGCAAAGTTGTAGGATACATTCTGAAGAATGCTGTCATTTGAAAAAAAATTAACATTTGAAATATTTATAAGCATAATTGATCAAATTTGCATAATGCTATTTTTTTGGTTTAAAGTGGTTGCTTTTTCTTATCCTAACTAGCGGATTGCAAGAGAAAAAAATAATGCTGACTGCTGGTTTGATTATGGAATCTTCAATTTGTATATCCATGATATTTCAAAGGTGAGATATTAATTTTAAAAATTCTAAGTGTGTGATTTATTCGATTGATGAACAGATAGTCTGTAAATGTTACGGTAGTTAAATAGGACCTCCCTCCCAATGAAAATATTTAAGGTAAAATATTTTTAAGCTCAAACTACAAGGCTCCATTTGAGCAAATCTCAAGTTGTTGGTCTGGAGTTCAATTCCAGCCAGAGCCAAGTCAAGCAAAAACATCACCAGCACCCCGGGTGGATGGGACTCATTAACCTTGGATGGCAACTCATCTAAGAGAAGGAAACTCTGAAATCATACCCGGAGATGGAATCCCAAAAGGCGGATAACATTGGTACAATGAAACATTCCGACAACTCCTGCACCGTCACTGGTGCCAAGCTGTATCATCCTAATGATGTTCCCTTGGGTTATCCTACGGCGTGGAGAGAGGCAATTTGCTGTTGGGAACCAGCTTATAATCCTTGAAGAATAATCCCAGGCCTTGTGGATTTCCTCCTCTGAAGCCCACACCATCGTCACATTTTGACAGATGGGTGCTAGCAAAACAAAAAAACAAGGCTCCATATATTTTTAACATTACGTTTCTTTTTGGAACACAGAAGTAAATACATTCATCAATGAAATAAATTTCTTTTTGTTGACATTTGTTAAATGATTGCACAATCAAATGTACTAAACTAAAATTTAAATTTACATTCACTTTATTTTCAATAGAGAATCTAGTAGAGCAGACTTAAATATTTCACGGAAAAAAAAGCTCAATAAAAAATTAAAGAACAAGGCTATATTGGCAAAAAATATGTTATTTCATTTAAAAAATATTTTTGGGTTTGACAGTGTGAAAACATTAAATCAATATAATATAATAATTGAATGAAAATATTGAAAAACATAATAGAGGCAGGTAGATTTTTTTAAATTTTAAATTTGGCTTGTCTGCAGGATGTGCTTTTGTTTTTCTTCACAAAATGTAAGATTTATTAAGACTTTTAAAGTTTTTTCTAATACCTTGACTTTAACAGGCTGAGGAGTGTTTCAAAGAATGTATTTCTATTGACCAAAAACATATGAATGGGTAAGTTATAGCCTTTATTATTTGAGAACACAACTTATAGCCTGTAGAATGATTCAGTTTGCATTAACAAAATAGAATTCATTTGTCACTTTGGAATCTGGGTATTGTCCTCCTTACTAACTGTCCATCCATCCCTATGGCGCTACAGCCCATGTAGGGCTTCGACCTGCCTCACTACTTCCTTCCACTCAGACCTAAATAATGCTTTTCTTTTCTAAGCTTGGATTCCCAACTGCTGTAGATCTTTTTCCACATCATCCATCCAACTAAACCTAAGTCTGCCATTGAGCCGTTTTCCTCTGGGGTTTTGGTGGTACACTCTCTTCACTTCTCTGTTATTTAGCATTCCTTCTAAGTGTGTAGGGTAGCCTGCCTTTACCACAGCAGAATAATAGTTCATTGTTCATGGTGTTCCATTATTAAAAGTAAATAATCTAAGTCCATATGACTGAATTGAAATATGATAGGTCTATATTTTTTAAAATTTTAGTTTGGATGTATGAAAACTAAAAATTAAGTGCTGTTAATGTTTTTTCTTGAAGTAGCCATGTGTTGAGTGATGAGTTGTTGGTGGCTAATAGTTTTTAATTTATTTAGAGTACAGGAAGCGAGGTCTTAAGAACTATAGCATTTAATTTCAACACAGAAACCAACAAAAAGAAGAAAAGAGCAGAAGAAAAAGGACAATAATTGAAAAGATACAAATAGTACAGGTTATTACATAGAGTGACACAGCTAACAATAAACAGTTTGAACTTCTCTGTATTTACAAAACAAACATACTTAATTAACTAACAATATAGATACATGATGATCACATAGTATCTGTTGTACTATATACAAATGGCAATTTATTTAATTATAGAAGAAATCATTTAGTAGGGTTTAACTTGTAGCAAGTTCACTGTGTTACATTCATAATCAGTGTAACAAGTGAGGGTTAACATACAGGTCTAGAAATTACTATTTTACGGTCGGCCATGTGTGGTGTCCATGTAAGATGCATACAACGCAGGACAGCTACTACAATGTTATAAAGTTTAACAACCATTAGTTTGATACTGTTGTGTCAATGGCACTGTCTCTTTAAGACATAGCATATTGCAGTATGTCTAACTATATTGATATAGCTGTTAGTACGTTTAACCATTACAATATCATTGTTGTGAGTCAAAGTGACAGGGCCAACAAGTGACTAAAACACTACCTAATATAAGTAATGAACAAACATCTTCCATTACTAACACCTAACAAATGCATTCTAAAAACACATGGGTACAAAAAGCATGTAGCATAGTCTACTTACAGAGTGTCCAGAGAATGACACGAGGAGTTTAATGTGTTCAGGTGGCTTCTTAACCCACAAATAAGTAACCCATTGCACACCCCCTGTAAATATGGCCACCTGGACATATTGGAGAGCTACTATGTCTGACATAGACCAAGTCTATCTATCGACTGTATTCTGGCAGACTGACAGTGGGAAGTTTTGGTAAAATTGACTATCCTGGAGTATCATACTCGAATAAAAGTAAAAAAGCCGGACCAAAACCCTAAAGACGTATATGTGTTTGTTCACGTTTAGTCTAAGCTATCCAAGATACATTCCATATTTAAATGGTCTTTGAGATATAATAATCAGAAAGGGTTTCAGTCCCCCATGAATGAATTCAAAAACATTCTTAATTGTTTAATATTAAAATATCCTCTTAAAGATGCAGAGATACCGAGGTATAGACAATAAAATCCACTTTCCAGCAAGATATAATTTATAGCATAGTTCACTAAGATTTCAGAGAAATTAATTTTTGAACTTATACACAAAGCACAGTTCACCTGAACCTCACAAAGAGGAGCAGCATTTTTGTTTGTTTGTTTGTTTTTTTTTGTTGTTTTTTTTTTTTGCTTGTAAGGGGAGATAAACAGTTTTGGCATTTTTGCTAGTACAAGACTGTGTGAATAGTGATATTTTTACTGGACCAGATATATCAGAGATATTCAAGTTACGGTACATTCGAAAGATAATAGGGATATTTAAGTTGTGGCACACTGACACATTTAGATTTAAAACAGCCAGAATAGCAATCCACAATTCATTTGCTGCCCACGGATACTACTTCTAAGCTAAGTGCTATTTTTTATTTTATTCAGTTTTTTCTACTGTTTTTTTCGCTGATGAAGGCTTCCTGCCAGCACGTTCATTGTTTTGTTGCGTTCCTTTTTTCAGGTTTAACCCTATTTTGTTTTCCTCATTTTATATTGTGCTAACCTGATTGCAGTCTCTCCTCTTATTACCTAGAAAAGCAAAAGCCTGATGCTAATATGACAGGGCCATTTGTTCTTGGCTTTAGTATAATTTTTTTTGTTATATGAGTGGTTCTTAGACGCTTCTCACATTGGCTATTTACGGGCACTTAGAATTTGACTTTTTTACAAAACTGGCATGTACACAAGCTTGTGTTGTAAGCTTGTGTTGCAAGTTACACAATGTAAGGCAAGGATATGTTCATACCCTGTACTGCTTCTAATGAAATTAATATTTTTAAGATACTTTAAAAACATGATTCAAGAAAGGAAAAAAAAAAAAGAGTGTTTGGTCATCTTTTTCAGCCTGATATTATATGGCATTGTGTGTACGCTGACAGAGAGGAATGAACTTGCTGAAACCTTCTTTGAAGCTGCCACATGTGTGGATCCCAACAGTATACTGGCTTGGACCATGTTGGGTAGGCTTCAAAACAACTTTAACTTTTTCTAGTAACTAGATGTGAGTAATGGTCGATGGATAATGCTTATAATTTAGACTACATGAACATTGATGTCTTACTTTCCTAGGATTGTTTTATGAAGGAGTTCCCAATGAGATACGTGCAGAAATGGCATTTATAGAAGCTGATAAACTAAACTTTGCCAAACTGATTGCCCTTAAGGAAGAGGAAGACAAGAGAAAAGCTGAAGAAGAGGCAAATAGAAGTAAGGATCTGCATTATTTATTAGAAACCACATACTTTAACCTGTTAAGTGTATGTTTGACTGTGTGTGGGGAGTGAGACAGTTGAGTAAGATTTGAGAAATTCTTGTCCAATCATTTATAAATATTAACACTATCTAAATATTCTCTATAACCAGTGATCTTTAGTATTTTGCTTGAAATGGTTTGCAACTGTAAATCACTTAAACATTTTGTTTTGTCATTCCTAAGTCAAGAGACAGCTAGCTTAAGTCAAATCTGTAAATCTCGACTCCCTTTAACACAAATAATTTTTTTTACAAAGCAGATCTAAAATTATTTCTCTTGTCCCTCTATAATCTTAAGTATCTCTGTTTAAAGTAATGGCAGATTCTACAGACGCGCAATCTCAAGAGATTTCGGAACAGGAAATGATCACAGAGGGTAAAATTATGAGTCCAGTTGACAAAAATTTAACACCTGACCTTATCAAAACTACTTCATCAGAAAAAAGAGGTAAGCTGGCTTAGATTTTATTTTGAAGAACAAGTATCAGTTATTATACATTAAGAACATTATGTGTGATCTGTATAATTATTTCCTTATGTCCCCCCTGCTCAGTTTGATGTTCATGTTAAAAAATACTATCAAATAAACTTATAAAGAAAATATTTTGTGAATATACTTCAGCTTATAGAAAGAAAGCTGTGGATTTCAAATTAAATCATTTCAAAGTAAGTCTAAGTACCAGTATCATTTAATTAACATATGTTACTACTTTCCTCAAAATTACAGGTTCCATCGCAAAAGCAAGCCTTAATAAAACTCCAATTGTGTCAAGACCAGTGAGCACATTTATGAGTACAGTGCAGCCAGTGATGTCAGAAACTGAGAGTAAAACTGTCTCATCTAGGGAATCACTCCTCCCTGAAGGAACCAGCATTTACATGCAAGCTGTTGATTGGCTGTTAGAAGTTAAAGCTACTCCTGTAAGCTCAAGATATTTTTAACTCTACAAGTTTTAATTTTATTTTGTCTAATGATTTGTTTCTCGTGCACTTATCATATCAAAACCTTTGGCCCTGTGATATACATGAAACAAGACCTGTAAGGTACATCATCCAAGACATTTTGCCATGTAATGTTCATCAACCAAGACATTTTGCCCTGTGGTGTACATCATCCAAGACCTTCTCATCTATTGTGTACTTATATCATTCAGGACCTTTTGCCCTATGGTTTATGAAATCCAAGACCCTTTGCTCTATGGTTTATGACATACAAGATCCTTTGCTGTCTGGTGTACCACATCCAAACTGTTATATTTTGTGGTGTCGCTACACATATCAGGTCATGATAAAAATTTTCTATGCATGTATCATTGCCTTCTGCATCACTCTTCTATTTCATAAAACTTCAAATCTTCTCTGTGTAGCCATGTGTTGACGTGGCTTATTACAGTTTAAATACACAAAACAATGAAATGCAGGTCTGAGAACTATAGCTTTTATTTTGTGGTCCAATCCGTTGAACAGACAGTCAAATCTCTCACAAAGGCAGCTGACGCGACGTATCCATTACACACACTCCAAGTCTCAGTTCACCCCTCACAGGTTAAATCACCCGCCTTAAATAGGACACAGTCACAGGGAAACACATCACGAGCAAATCATAGGTCGACCTCGGGGCAGGGATGGTCATTCACGCGTGTAAATAACAAAACATAAAATTTAAGGCCCAGTATACAGCTGTGTTACTTTAAATGACAATGGATGTGTACAGTGTACATGCTTGGCGTTACCCACAGCAGTTACACTATGAGAGTGAATTCTCTTACTTCTATCGGTGGCATACTGCCGCATATAAAATGTTACATAAATGCAGTTACAAATAGTGGCACATTGATGGATATGATTTATAATACTTTTTTTTAGACATTTCAAGTGGTGAGCTGAGATTGTTCCTTTTAGCTCAGTTAATTTTCAACAATTAATGTTTGCGTTATTATTACAAGATTTCCCTCCCATTTCCCAAGAAAATATTGTTGATTCTTGGAAGAGTTGCTTGTTTCGATCACAATTTTATATATGGGGCCTCATTGAGGAGTTTATTACCTTATATTGTCCTTTATTTATGAATGATTTCATCATCATCATCATCAGTAGTGCTACGTCCAATGTAGGGCCCTGGCCTGCTCCACCACATCCTTCCATTAGGATTGATCCATGGTTTTCTGCCTCCATGTGCAGACCCCCTGGTGGTGAAAGTCCTTCTCTACATTGTGAATCCATCTCAGTCTTTGTCTGCCTTTAGATTTCTTCATGTAGATCACTTTTGCTGCTCTAAATTCTGGCAACAGGATTCAAGACGCAGGAATTTCAGTACTCTTACTTCTCGCCCAAAAATATATGCTGTATATACTTTTATTGATCCAAGTGTTAACTACTGATAGTCTTCTGTTTTTAATGGTGATATAGAGAGCAGGTTTTTAAAAAATATAATATAACTGTTAATTTCTGTTCCTAATGGTGTAATAGTAGTAATAGTGAAAATAAACACACAAGTGGTCAATTATGCCAATATCAAAATCTAAATATAATTTCAGTTCACTGAACGAGCCCTGGGTCATGAACTTGTAACCTCTCCAGGAAGTCCCACATCCGCTTACCAACTAGCCTTGGCAAGACTTAAACTGCAGAAAGGGGACTATGCTGAAGCAGAGCAAACCCTCAATGAGACCATTCAAACAGATTTTCAGGCAAGTTTTTCTAGGGTGAAAAAAAAAGAGAGTCAATTGTATTTTATCCAAGGGTTAATCTTTTTCAAGCTTATAGAAGTATGACCATTTTGTAGTTTATAGCTTTTTAGTTTCACTAAGTGTGGTTTAGGGTAAGGTAATTTTCCCCATCTAGGTATCATTAGCCATAGGAAAACATGAAAAAGGCTTAGAAACACTAAACTAGAATTAGAAGTGGTTCTGATTAGTCTAAGAATTTATACCAACATTCAGCATTGTTTTAAATTTTAAAATTATTTTATGATTATTAGAACCCAGATGCATGGTCCTTGCTGGGACATGTCAAATATTTAACCAATGATCACATAACTGCCAGAGACTGCTATGAGCGAACACTTGCATTTGTAAATGATGCCAGTGAAACACATTCCATATACTTAAGACTGGCCTCCATTTACTTGCAAGAAGAGAAGGTAAATATTTTGATGTCACCCAGTACACAGCTAACATTTGGTTAAATCATGCATTTTGAAAAAGCAAATAATTTTTGCAGAATTTAAAATTGCTAATCTCAAAATTCTTTGTTCCTCGGTAGATAAACAAGTATTTTTATTACATTAGATTAGATTTGGAATTAAAATAATAATAGAAATAGAATGAATTAATTGTTTTCACATATTTAGAACTTTTGATTTCACAATTTTAAAATAAATCTGAGATGTTTGGTGATATAAATTTATTTGTAAGGATATTTAGTTAATTTTAAAATAAGATACCATATACATGCCATATCACGTCAAGTCCCAAAGTTAAAATTATAATAGTAGCCCTTCAGTTATCTGCTTTATAAATGTTTCCTTTATTAACAGTATCAAAATGCCAAGGACACTTTCCTGAAGGCTTGCAAAAGATCTCCCTCATGTATATCATGGTTGGGGGTTGGAATAGCATGCTACAGGGTGAGCTTTCATGAAGAACGATTTTTAATTATGATTATTGAAAAGTTAATGAAAGTTTATTTTCAGCAATGTTAGAGAGCAATGGATAATATTTTAAGTGCAATTTAAATTTCTGATAATGACCCACTTTATTTCTTAAATTTTTTATTTTTATTATCTTACTGTATTAGTTGCATCATAACAGTTAAGATTGTTTTATAATCATTTGACATCACAGCTGAATGAACTGTCAGAAGCAGAAGATGCCCTCTCTGAAGCAAATGTTTTGAACAATAATGATCCTGAGGTGTGGGCGTATTTGTCTTTAGTTTGTCTGAAGACTAATCGACGGCTGGAAGCTGAGCAGGCTTACAAATATGCTATAAAAGTAATTTCTATAATGTAATAGTAATAGTAATGTAAAATACATGTAAGAAATGTATTGTTTAATCTATTATTCCACAGTAATAAATTAATATTAATATTATTATGTATTTTTATAAAAAATAATTATTAACTGATTGATTCCTAAACACATTATATACTGTTATAATAAATTATATTAAATTATTTAACACATTTAAATATATACATATACTGTTTTGGCAGTTAAATCTTGATGACGGACCACTTCTTGCTGAGATCCACAGGGAACAGGTGGCACGAGGATTCGGCAATCCTTCATTTTAAAAATTAATTCCACACAGCAGTCAGATTTTTTCAAAAAATGTTAGTTTATTGGTTCAATTTAAAATCCTGTCAACAGTTGGACTCACTTTCTTGAATACGTTAATTTTTATAAATGTGTTTTAAAATTGAAAGCAAAAAAAACTATTTGTTTACTCAGCCTTCATTTGAGATGGATGTGCAGTGATAAAATTATTATTAAAATTATGGATTAACTGTTGTCATCTATTTCATATGGATAATGATGTTACCCTACTGTCAAATATATGTTGTTTTTTTTCTTTTAAATACGTTAACTCAAAATGTCCAATTCCAACCGGTAACAGTAACATCAGATTTATTGTGACACTGTCCAATAATAATAATTGATAGTGTCATAACCTTGCAAGATATTTAGTGTCTATATTACCATAATTCTCAAAATAATTGGGCCTATAGGTATAAGGGTAACTAATTTAAAAATCCACAATTTTAAATTGTGTGATTTGTGATGCTGCAACTATGTTTAAAGAAGAAATAAGTTGACGGAAATAAATTATCGTTTGAATGCAAAGAATTGTAAATAAATATGAATTATTCATAAATAACTTTACAAAAGATTTTAGTACGAGATTCTCATTCTAACCTGACAGTATTTGCAACACTATTTATGGACATGATATATTTTAATAACAAATTTCAGCAAGTTCAACAAAAGATACAAATTTAAGATAACAATTTACAAAATAGTGCAGAATTTTAAAAATATTTTATATTATTATAAATTATAGAAATAAGTATTTTATAGAGCTTTAGGATAAAGTTGTTACAAGAAAACTAAATATGTTTAGTCCTTCCGGGTACTTTGATAAAATAGTATACAGTAACATTTATTTGTCATGGTTCCTAAAATAAGTTTTGTTGTAAATTGACTAGCCTACATGCTCTGGGATCGACATGAATAAAAACTAAATTTGATATATAATATATTAGAAGGGTTTTCATAAATAAATATGTTGATGCATAAACTCTTCAAAGCCACACCATATTTGTGCTGTTGATACTTTCAATCAGATAGTTTTTTTAATATTTTAATTTAACTTCTGTTAAGTTTTGTACATTTCATTACTTAAAAGGGTTTTTCAAATTTAAGGATAATAATGAAAATAGAAATTTGAAAACTTTAAATAGACCATGAATGAAACTCTCACAGGCCTAATTATATGCAGGAGTTATTAAAAATGAAATAATTGTTATTTAATTTTTTTTATTACTCTTTTTTTTCATGCCGCCATAAAAGAGCTTCTAAAGGCACTAAGTTATTTTAAAACACACAAGAACCATCTACAGAAAACTTTTGGTTGGGATGACATATTTTTATTTTATTGCTGGTCTTGTCTTTTAAAAATTGAATGCAAGCATAATTCATCATTTTGTTTTTTAACTTTCCCTTTCTCTTGTCTTTTTACCATGTCTGTCAATGGGAAAAATAAATTGAGAAAATTGTTCAAACATAGTCAAGACTTAAGATTTTTTTTTTTTAAACATCCTTTGAAAATGTTTGTACCGGTACATTTATGGAAAACATAACTTAAACAAAAAAGATACCATTAAATGCATACTATGACACAATGCACAGGGTTATATTTTTGTCGTAAATTTTTAAAATAAAAAACCTGAACTTAAATGTCATCCAATTTAATTAATTTAAATTGTGCAAGTTTAATGGGGGAGGGGGATTAATTCAGTAATTTTTTCCCCACAAATATTACAACTCAGACTTCCTCTTTGTTCATTGTCACATATATTAATAGTACAATTGTTCTAACATATCAAACTTTTACTTCCAGGCCTTGATTAAAATATGACTATACTATTTAATAAAAATTAATTCATTCATTGTTAATTTTTAAGGAAATGATCAAATTTGCAATTTTAAGTTATTTGTATGGGCCTAATATATAAAAAATAATATTTTTTTAAAAGTTGATTAAACATACCTTATGACGAAGCTCTTTGAAGTTTTTACTTTTATATTTGTTACTCTTTGTTTGTACTGTTTGCTGAAGATGGCTTTTTGCCAAAATGTTCCTTGTTTTTAGGTCATTTTTTTCAGTGTTTCCCCCACCTTGCTCTACATATCCTTAAAGGCAATGCTATTTTATATTGAATAGTTAGATCAATGTATTGTCTGTAACAACAGGGACATGGTATGTAAGCAATATTATTATTTAATTTAGTAAAATTTAGGTTCATAAACAATTATTTTTTTAAAAGAAAAAGGAACAAAAATGTAGGCCTATTGTAATGTCCCCCCCCCCCCCCCCCCCCGCCCCCCCAAAAAAAAACCCCAAAACCCAACCCTTTTTTAAATAAAAAAAAACCTTTATTAAAGATAGGTTCAACCATATAATTAAAATTAAGCGCTTCATTCAAAATGATAATTTCAAAGTAAACAGAAAGAGTATCTCCCCCTTCCCCCCTTTTTCCTCATCCCTTTTGCTGCATGGCATGTACTGCTGATGTACTTATTACTTACGCCGTACGCGCGCGCGCTCACTCACACACACAGCACGGCGTACTGCCAGAAAAAAAGGAAATATGTATACTTTAAATTAAATGAGTTTTTCCTGTTTACCGTCTGCTAACGTTCTGTTTGTTTTCTGTTTTTTTATAGCTCCATATTCAAGGTTAATCTTATTTTACACTGTTTCTCTTTAAAAATGTTAATAACATCAACTTAAAGAAACAACAAAGTGCTCCAAAGTGTAATTACAAAGTAGACTTAAATAATAGGCTGCGACTATTTGGGATTAAAAAACTATTCAAAATAGTATTGTTGGGTTTGTAAGACAAAATGAGGTATCAAATGAAAGATAATTGAATACATGTTTGTAAACTTACTTCTTCAGTTTAACTAAAATAAACTACCACAAAGGACATCCAAATGAATGGGATTTAGTCTAAAGGGACCCGGGTACGCAAAGCTGCTATGTGGCCCAGTCTCTTTCAGACAACTCCTGCAGCCCCTATATAATTTGACTTTGAGACCCCTGGTCTCAGATGTCTAAATTGTCTGACAAATTGTGATGATTGAGGAGGGGGGTTCCAAATTCTGCCAAATATGGAGGGGCCCTTTTATACGATGTCACTGTTAGTGTTAGATTTAGAATTGGATCATTTTTCTTAGCTATAGTTAAGTATTCATTATAGCATAGACATATTTAACAGTTTAATTTATAATTTAGTCTAAACAGTGGTAATAATGAATATGTTCTAACTAAATAATAACTTACTAACTTAATTTTTATTAAATTTAGTTCATAAAAAGCAGAGAAAAATAAAAAACTGAGTGTTTTCTTTACGAAGTGTCTACACGTCCGGCGCGCCGGACAAATAGTGCGCAAGATATACGTCCGGTGGTATGTCACGTGACCGACGGACGGCTAGTAGTTTTTATAATTCCGAACGAAGTGCAGTTTGGCAGATCTTGTGTGGTCTAGTAGTAGAGTGGTCGCTTGACGATATTATGATTTGAGGATCAATACCGGGGATAGGATCGTTTTTTTTTTTCTCCCATTTTAATGTAAAATATTTTATACTATATTTATATTAACATATTCATCAGCAACAGTAGTTTCATGAGAAGTTTTTAAATATTTGTAACAATTCAAAATGAAATCTTTTACTTTTATTGGTTGCCTACTCCACACTGGCCCTTAATTTATTTTATGGATTACTGGTACACAAACTCCAATAACAAACTAAAAAAAAATGTTTACAAGCCACTTTCACTTAAGTTTTTTTCTATTATTTGCATTCAAGATACTCAGTACATTACTTGGTAGAGAAATAGATTTTAAAATTAATAATAATTTTGAATTATTCGCAGTCAACGTCACAAGGCTGCCCGACAAGATATCTTTCGCTGCTTTGTTACGGCAGTCATGTGACTTGGTTGCCGGACAAATAGTGCGGGAGATAGACGTCCTGCGCGCCGGACATGTAGACACTGCCTTTCTTTTAAATCTGGATATCAGAAATGAATTATATGTTCTGTGTACCAAAAATCAAGATGTGTAAATTTCAATTATTTTTTAAAATAGGCCTACTCTAGAGAATCTAGAAAATGAACAATTTGGAAAGACCATTTCCTCAAGCAGTTTGCATTTTCAGACTTAAACTGTTGGCCTAGTTAGATATTACAAAATAATGCTTCATTTTTAAGTTTAAAGTTTGTTTGTGATATGGTAGCTAAAAATCTACCAAGAACTTAAAAGACTGAGACCATTTTTAATAAATGTATCTGAATTATTCTGCATACTGGTACTAAAAGAATGTCAGAACTGAGGCAAGAGCAGGTGAAATTGTACCAGACATTCATTGACTGTGCACAGAGCAACAGTTACAATCCCATATTTCTTGATGAGGTAGATAAGCACCTCCTGAAAGAAGCCCTTACATTAAGTAAGTCTTGTTCAGATTACTTTAGTTCAGTGTTTTTTTTTTATTATTAACATCAACAAAAGGGATTTTTTTTTTCCAAATCATTTTTTAATGATATAGATTAAGGATATCATTCATCCCAGAAACATGACTCCTATCCTCAAGTCTTTCATCATAGAATATCTCACTGATTTCATATAGCCTATCAGAATTTTCACTTTAAGTACAAAAATATTAAAATAGGAATAACGGTGATCCAATTACTTTCAACTATCAATATTGAATGTCATCTTTTTGTGATGGCTCTTATACACCACAACAAATAATAATGAACAATGAGTGATATTAATATGACTAACAGAATCAATCAAAAGCAACAAAAAGGGCATCAGATGTCAACTGACACAGAAAGTGTTATCAGATTACTGCTGGTTGTCTGATCATTGCTATGATGATTTATTATCCCATATACATGCCACATTCTAAGGCACATCACTGAAAGATTCAGCTCTTTGTTATGCCATTAAAAAATAAACTCTTCACCTCTTCTTACTTGTTCACACTCACGATCTAATGCCTTTTAAATCTGGAGTATAAACCTAGCTCAATTCTATTTTCTAACATAAACTATCCCCATTTTTTCAGCTCAAGTCACTCTCATCAAATGGGTTAATAAGTCATATGTTCTCAAATTACAGAAGAGTGATGTTGAGTATACTTTTACCAAAGGTTTGGCCCATCATATGCTGATTATATTTTCTACTTAAATACATAGATTTAAAAAATTATTATCTATGTCATTATCTCAAAAATAAATGTAACTGATTTTTTTAGCTTCAAACACATTTTACAGACAACAAAACCATTTTTCTCTAGAAAGGTAAAAGGGGGAAATTGTAAAATTAGTGTTCCAGATTCTTTGGGCTAAAATGTTCAAGCCCTTTAGAAAATTGAGGCAAGATTTAAAATTCTGTACAGATAGATACAATGTCTGTATTACTTGATTCAGTTATTCATGATTACTTTGACTTGTTCATGTCTAACCTTATCCGATATTCTTTGCTAGTTACAAGCTTAGGATTAAGACACTCAATTTCAAACATTTAAATTGTTTTTATCATATTTCTGATGTCTAGCAGGTGTCCTTATCTACCTAATCAAAATTGCATGAGTATGGTATGTTCCTATGTTGGTTTGTCAGTTCATCAGTATGTCTGTACATTACTATGTCAATATTTTCTGTGTGCTATGTTAATATGGTGGTAGGAATGCCCATATCTGCCAGTAAAATTATTTGCTTATTTAGACACTTTTATTTTTTTATAATTACATAGTTGTCTGTTAAAACATTCAAACTGGGTTGTCATCTACTTCATTTGATGTTATTATTCTCCTCTTGATACTACTATTTGTCTCTGTCCACCAGCTGTCACCCCCACTTGCTCCTGTGGCAGATTTTTTGAGCAGCACCCTACCATTGTTGAAGACACGGAGGAGGAATGTCTCGATCCATTTCTTCAAACCTTGGCCCAAGGATTTTGTAAATGTTTTAAAACCCTACCTACGAATGATACCAGCTACGTGAGGGTTGCATCTAAAACATGGCTTCATGTGGCTTCTGTCTTGGGCTGTCTGGAAATGGTAAAAGTTCTTGTCGACACTGCCCAGCTGGAGATCAATGCTGTCACATCATTGTATCATTTCAGTTGTCTTTCTCTTGCTGTCATGCAAACTAAAGGTGAGTTCAAGTTGTTTCGTGGAAGCATTTGTCTTCATGACCAGGATTGGTCTATCCAGAATTTCGTCACCACTGTTAGGCATTGCCATCATTCAGTAATAAATAGTGACACACATTTTTGGTATCAGAGATATAAATAGATAGAAATTTGAACTGAGCTATGGTTTATTTTTAGATGCATTAGTTAAGTTTCGTGCCAGTTGGTGTATTGATGAAAACGTTTAAAAAGAGTTTTAATGATGTGATGTGAGTTTAGTTGGAGGTCTATTATCTATAACATTAGGAGGGGGAAGACAATCTGGGTTTAGTTCATTGATAATATGTTGGTATGACAGCTCATATGTGCAAAATCTGGTGGGATAAAATGCTCTCACATCCTTCCTCTATCACTGAGTTACTTTGCTTGTTCGATTGGAGATACTGTCTTCAGATGACTTATAACTTCAATATCACTTGCACTCTTGTATTACATATTTACATAGTGGTCTAATTACATAATATGAAGTTTGTTCTTAATGTTTTTTTTAACTGAAAAGCCTACAATAATAATCATCATTGGCATTACAGACTATGGAGGGCTCTGGTCTCATCTCTCCACTTGGACCAATCCATAGCCAGAATTCTAATCTAAATGATCCAGCTATAATCAGCTACCCTATTCAGGCTTAGTATGTGTTGAGCATCAATAATTCTTCATGGACCACAAAAAAATTATGTGAGCTGATAATGATCGGCAGATGTGAGTTTTGAAAAAAAATCACTGTGTTATGTAACTATTTTTGACCATTCCATTGCATAGGTCATTTGGTCAGCTGGTTGTGTGCTCATCCACTGATTGATATGAATATTAAAGCTAAAAGTGAACTGCACACCCCGCTCATAGACGCAATGTTAGCAGAAAAGTTTCACATAGTTGATATTCTCAGCCAGACACCTGGTATAGACTTAAATACTGTGAGTCTTTTATTAGATCTTATCAAACAATAATTCAATAATACTAACCAAAGTTTGTTTTATTGTGTTGCAGTTCTTTCATACCTTTCTAACCGTAAGAGTTATTATATTAAAATTATCATTGTTAAAAATTTATATCATGCCTCAATAGTAACATGCTAGCATTCCACAATATAGACACACATTAGCACTGGCACAATAGCTACATGCTAGCATGCCACAATAACTTTGTGCTAGCATGCCATAAAATCTATGTGCCAGCATGCCACAGAATCTATGTGCTAGCATGCTACAATAGCTATGTGCTAGCATGCTACAATAGCTATGTGCTAGCATGCTACAATAGCTATGTGCTAGCATGCCACAACAGCTATGTGCTAGCATTCCACAATAGCTATGTGCTGGAATTCCACAAAAGCTATGTGCTGGCATGCCACAATAGCTACGTGCTAACATCCCATAATAGGTATGTGCTACTCAAAGTTACCCAGTGACTTAACTAGATGGCTCAAACCACACATAACAAATTTAACATTACAAAATAGGAGACATATTTTTTATGGATTATGATTGTGTATAATGCAATTAGCCCTATATTATTAAGATAGGTAGAAAAAGATTTTCAGAGAAATTAATTCCATCTCTTTTCAAAGGTTTTTGAAAATCCAATTAGTTTTATGGGAAATTTTGAAATTTTACTATTTTTTTCTTACAGACCAACTTTCGTAAGGAAACTCCTTTAATTATTGCTGTAAGAATGAACAATGCACGTTTGGTAAGGATGCTGTTAGGGGCGGGAGCAGATTACTCTATTCCTACACTAGATGGAGTTGAGCCCTTGCTTTTAGCTGTTCAGTCCAGTCATCAGGTGGTGCAGGAGTTTATCACTGCCAATGTTCCTCTCAATAAACTCAACTCTGATGGAGAATCTGCTCTGACTTTAGCTCTCAGAAATGGTTAGTAGAGGTTACTGCTGTCAGGACTTTAGTCTTACAATAGTTGTTACTGAAAAATTGAGTTTCGTTGCTCATTGTTGTTTTTAAATTATTTTTTTGTTTGTTGGGGATTGGGGATTTGGCAAGTTAGTGCTTTTAAACCTTTTGAATGTTTAATTATCCTTTGGCTAGTGACAGAATACAAGATTGAACTGTTTGACTCGCCATGCACTAAGTCAAATTTTATTATTTTTCCCAATATCATGTACTCTGAATATTTCCTGACAAAATTTATGCAATGATTTTTAATGCAAATAAATAACTTTTTTTTAAATTTGCTCGGACAAGACTTTTATAAAACTCAAATTTATTCCAGTTTGATTGATTTAAAAATCAAGCACTTTTCGTAAGTTCTCTCTTGTGCTAGAGTCTCTCATCTTGTGCTAGAGTCTCTCATTAGTTATTGCATTTATTTATTTATTTATTGAGGCATTTTTATATAGCGCTTACCTTAAAGCTTTAAGCGCTTTACAATTATTAAAAACATGTAAACGAAGTAAAATAAAAATGAGACACTAGGATAGTAACTACTATACTATAGAAACAATTAAAATAGCTATAAAACGAGGACACTTTGGCACGTTTTGGCCTATACTACAGGATCAACCCGAGACAGAAAATGAGGCAGGGCAAGGAGGGTGCATCACAGGTCATAGGCGGACCTAAACAAACCATATTTAGTACTATTACTATGAATATTTGTACAACATTTCTATATGACAGACTGAAATGAGATCTTCATTTATTAGTCTTATTTCATTACAAATGTAATCATTCAAGGGAGATCACCCTGACGCATGGCACATGATCAAACAAAATGTTGGTTATCAAATAATTCTTGTAGGGATTGTGCTGGAAGGCCCTCATTGGTTGATATCAATGAATTCTTGTAGGGATTGTGCTGGAAGGCCCTCATTGGTTGATATCAATGAATTCTTGTAGGGCTTGTGCTGTTTGGCCCTGAGTTATTCTAAGTTTATTTTCTTCTATTTCCTTAGGATCATTGGACATAATGCATGTACTTCTAACAGGGGGAGCTGACCCAAGAGCTAATCCAGCGAAACCAGCCCTCGTGCTAGCTGCTAGTTTGGGACATGTCAAAATTCTCATCTATCTGTTGGACACTGGTGAAGATCCTAACCAGGCTGATGGTAATGGTTGGACCGCATTACACCACGCCTGCATGTGGGGCTACACACTCATGGTACAGATCTTGTTAGGCCATGGTGCCAGTATCAACACATTGACCTCCTATAACTCCACCCCCTTAGCACTGGCTGTATTCCAAAGGTGAGTCTAGCGACCCTACCTGATCAACTTGATATTGCATTGCCGTTTGTTATATTTTTCAAATTTCAGTCAAATTATCTAGTTTTAACAATTTAAAAAAAAAAAATTTTCAGACACCAAGCCATTGCTGAACTGCTTGTCCACTATAAATGTGACCCCAATATCTGTGACAATGACCTTGACACGCCGCTCCACTTTGCTGCATATCATGGCAACCGTGACCTTGTGAGGCTTTTGATAGACAGCAAGGCGCAGGCGTGCTACTTTAACAGAATTGGTGCCACACCCTTGTTCAATGCTGTGGTGTCTGGCAATATGGCAGTCATTCAGCTTTTGCTGCCCCATTACACAGACACGGAGCTGCACGCCAGCAGTCAAGGTTTTAGCTACCAACAGTTTGATTGGAAGTCGGAACTCTTTTACCCGGCTCCCAGATCTCTGCTTTGGATAGCAGCATCCAGAGGCAATGTTGAGATCGTCAACATGTTGCTCTATGCCGGCTACAACACGTCTGCAGAGTCCTGGATACATGACCGAGATTTCCCTCAAACCCTCACTGACGCAGATGGGATGGAGCCTGTCAAGGACATGTTACTGTTCCATGCTTCTGTGCCTAGATCGTTGTTGTCTTTATCAAGGTGTGTTGTCCGCCGAGCGCTTGGTCCTGGGAAACAACGACAGGTCAACCAGTTGAATTCTATTCCCAGGAAGATCAAGAATTACATCTCCCTTAGAGACTTCTAGACCAGTGGTCCCCGAAACTACTACTATGAAAGAGCTGCAATCAAATGTCTAGTTCAGAAGTGAGCTCTAGCCCTAACCTGCTAAGATGAATGGGCCAGTCAAGTGCCAAGTATAGTGCTGTAATTGAAACTGTCATATTAAATTGTTTACATTAAAAACCCAGCCATTCAACCTCATTCCCCAACCCGAACCACAAAATAATTTATCTTACATCAATCTGCCATGAAATGTGTCCTCAACTTAGCTTAAAAGACATCTGAGTCTGTGAGAAAAACAGCAGGGAACTGTGAGCAAGACATCAGGGGTCTATGAGAGAGACATCAGGGGTCTGTGAGCAAGACATCAGGGGTCTGTGAGAAAGACATCAGGGGTCTGTGTGAAAGACATTAGGGGTCTATAAGAAAGACATGAGCGGTCTGTGAGCAAGACCTGAGGGGTCTGTGAGCAATACATCAGGGGTCTGTGAGCAAGACATGAGAGGTCTGTGAGCAAGACATGAGAGGTCTGTGAGCAAGACATGAGAGGTCTGTGAGCAATAAATCAGGGGTCTGTGAGAAAGACATCAGGGGTCTGTGAGCAAGACATCAGGGGTCTGTGAGAAAGACATCAGGGGTCTGTGAGAAAGACATCAGGGGTCTGTGAGAAAGACATCAGGGTACGGTGAGAAAGACATCAGGGGTCTGTGAGCAATACATCAGGGGTCTGTGAGAAAGATATAGTGGGTCTCCTCAACATAGTTGGATTCAATGGACTCACAATGGTAGCTAACCAAAGCAAAAAGATTTACTAAAAACGGATCTAAGCTGTTGCACTATTTTAGCCCCCAGTATGATTCAAAATATGAAAATGTTCAACTATTAAAAAGCTGATCAATACTTTTAGATTAGAATTTTTAGTGAGACAAACAAGTATGTGTCATTTGTTGGCCAAGTCAATTCAAGTAGCCTTTACCCTTATTGTAACATATATTGTGTTTCGTTGTGCTGTTATATTAATTACTGTCACACAATGAAATAACTATTTCACTATTTAAGCCTTACATTTGTAATAAAGTAGAAACTTTAAATCAGCGGTTCGCAACCTGTGGGTCACGACCCCTTTGGAGGTCACGGGGACCCTTTTCCAGGGGTCGCCTAAGACCATCTGAAAGACAAGAGAAACAGTATTAAGGGGTCGCGGCACTAGAAAGGTTGAGAACCACTGCTTTAAATTAATTTTTTTTAAATGATTTTCACAAACGACTAAAACTTTAAACTATTTACACCATCTGTCAAGGTGTTAGAATCCTTGAGAGTCTGTTGTGTGCGGATGCTCCTTCGTTATGAATGAGAACCGAGAGTTGGTGTTCCTGAATGTGGACTGGACTATGAGCGTAGGGATACAATAAATGAAGGGGTATACTTAAAGATTAGTAGTGCAGGGGAGAGTGAGGGAGTAGGAACGCTGAATGGGGTATTGTTGCCACTGACTAAGTTTTTTATCAGAACTCATATTACTAATGAGAGAACCTGTGTTAGATTAGAGTAGAATGCAATAAACGCTGATTAATAATAATCAAGAAAGACTTTGTCATCTTTTAGTATAATTTATCAATATGTGTATAGTGACAGTGTTAATAATGATACCTCTAGACAACAAGACACTTATGCAACTATTGGCACCATCCAGTTTTCAAAAAACCACAAAAAACTTTTAACTTAATATACCATCAAATTTTAACAAACCACTAAAACTTAATACTAACAATACCTAATACCATCCAATTTTCACAAATACATTTAAAAATTAGTATTATACATCAAATTTTTTTTAACTAACTGTACCTTTACCATCCAATTTTAAAAAGAAAATTTAAACTAATTGAGGAGTCCAATTGCAAACCCTGCTAAGTCGATTTTTTGAAAAAAAATGAGTTAGTCCCCTTGGCTCATCTATGAAGTGCTATTTCCACAACATTTTACTAGTTTTTAAAATCAAAACCCTCTAAGTTCGTTTATTTCGTTATTAAACAAACGGAGTGGCTATAGGTACCCGGGTACCTATAGCAGCAACTGGCTATTCGGATCCGGCTGGTCACGTGAGGGCTTTAGATTATTCGGTTGGTCACGTGATAGTTATGACGGATACTTCCTGTTGGTTAGCCATCTTAGAGCCATTATTATCAATCGAGAAATGTGCCACATTTTGAAGAATTTCACGTCGCGTTGAAAAAACAAGAACAATGTGCGTACATCTAAAAGCAAGTAAGAATACGTTTATGTTTATAATTTTATTGTATTTTTAAATTCTATTTTAAATATAGTTCTATAATCATTAACATGACATCAAACATGATTCAAGATCAAAGTTGCTTTTTTTTTTTTTGGCGGCAAATCGGCTACCGGTACTGTCTTATCGGACCCGGTATCAGAAGTGGGTACTTCAATTTTAATTCACCGCAAAAATTATTATTATTCACTTTTCCCATAAAGCAATTAATGTTCTTTTGAATAAAAAAAATGGCTAAAAACAATTCGGAGAGATCAACCCGCGGCCGCCATCTTGGTTATCGTGACCCACGAACTTATGTCCTAAATGATAAATGTATCCCTAAACTAACCTGAACCCTAAATGTATCCCTAAACCTAACATGAACCCTAAAATGTATCCCTAAACCTAATCAAACTGAATTAGCCTAAAAAACTTTTTATTCAAAAATTATTATACATTATTTCAAATTTCACACTTCCAATAAAACAATTGTTATTTTGAATAAAAACATACTTCTTTAAAGTAGGTATTTCGGTAAGATCCGGGAAGTGCCGAAAACCGGGTATCGTGATTTCGTTGTCAAAATGGCGACCTCCACTTTTTAATTTACCGAGAGTCGCGTTGTTTACGACTTTTTAACTATATGTAGCCCAGCATGTTAATTCTATTTCCGCCCACAACTTAGAGTAGACATGTTGTGTTATGATTAGACACTTGAGTCCCCCACAAAATTTTGGGGCTTCACTTTGAAAATTGAAGGTAAAATAACGCAATTTTTACTCATTCATATTTTTTTTGTGGAAAGGAACCTTTCATTGAATTTCAAGGACTTTATAAATAATGGCATTAACTAGAACATATCCAAGACCTGTTAATTTAGGACCATCAGTTTGGTCAGAAATTTCCTCGGAAATTTTAGTCACGTGTGTCCCAAAATTACCTATTATCATTAATATTCGTTGCTATGGTAAATAACCTGATTTACTCTGGAAATCCAGCTTATTACCCCCTAATAACTTATTTAGAAATAAAAATAAAATAATTAATAAAACAAATACATATTTTTAATATGATTTGATGCTTTTATTGAGGGATATTAGGTTAAAAAAGCCTAATTAATTACAATTAATAGTTAACTATTAGTTTTATATACTGTTATATGTATACTATTAACTATATAATATATATACATATAATATATATACATATATAATTATATATATGTGTGTATGTATATATAGAGGCCTAGAATAGTATTACTATTATAAGTGTAGGCCTATCCCCCCTCCTCCTCCTCCCCCCCCCCACCAAACCCCCCCCAATAGTTATTTGTAGGACCCATTATTCATATGTAATTATATATATGGTGATTCTTAAGGCATAAATTAAGTAAAAGTGTACAAAAAATATTCACTTACCTTTGGTATTGAAATATCCTATATTATATTTAATCGCATATCACACTATTCCAAAAGAGAATTATTATATAATCCCCAGTATTCTCAAAGAAAAAAAAACACTTTCTGCCACAAAATTCCAAGAATTACATGAGATATTACTAAAATTTAATATTAAAACATTGTAATTACCTCAAGCAAATAACTAGAACTTATTTAAAATTCTATCAACAGCTAAAGTTGATTCTAATAATAAATGTTGATCTGTGAAAAAACTTTGCTAACTTAAAATAAATGACATACTATTTTTTGTCATATTCACACATTCATATGGTATGGGACTAAAATACATTATATAGAAAATGGTTAAATAAAAAGTTTAATAGTCAATTTTAACTTATTGAAACAAATAATCCCTTTATTCTTAGTATATACTTATAAATTTTAAACAATTCCACAGAAAATTTGAAATTAATATCTTAAGAATATTTTATTATTATGAATTTTGGGAAATCGAAAAAAAATATTTATACATAATTAATTAATTAATTACGAATAAGTGACGAGTCAGCATATTTTATATATTTTTAATAGGAAAATAATAAAGATTTTTAAAATAATTTTTGCGGAATATTAACAAAAACTAACTTATATTTTGTGGTTCTATTTAGAAGTACTCTTATTTAACTATGTTCCCTGTAAATATTATATTTTTGTCTCATTTTACAATAAAGTTATAGGCATTCAAAAAAAAAGCAAATTGAGGGTCACGAAATGTGGAGGAAAAAGTAAAAAAGTGCCTTTGAGGTCCCTACTAAAAAAATCATAACTTTTAAACCACTTGAGACTTGAGCTAGAAAGTTGATCTTGGTGTTTTTGTAATCTATTCTCCAGGCTCTATACAGCTGTAGTGTTTTTATATTTTTAAAAATGTTTTGAAATTTTAATCAAAGTGCCTATTTAAAGGTCCTCCGCTACTGTAGTGGCCAAAATTGAACAATATCGTCTAGAATTGCGTTGAAGACATAAAAACCATAATTTACATTAAGGTGGTCCATGGGTCAAAATTTTTTTTCTGTTTCTTAATTTAAAAAAAAATAATTAGTACATACACAAACAGAAAGACAAAAAACCACTTAATTTAAAAAAAAAATTTTTTTTCCTTTTATTGCAAAAAATTTAAAATTTTATACCAATTTTGACTTGTACGCAAAATGATAAAAAAAAATGTGTATTGCAATTTCATAATGAAACTTTGAACACACATTAAGAATAACATTGACAACAAGTCAAAAGAAGCTTAATAATATTACACTTCAGTTATTGGAAGTGTTACAAATGGCATGTATGTGGGGTCACATAAAAATGCGTGAAATGTTTAGGGGTAGCAAATGTAAAAATGTCATAAAACTTTTATAGCTGGATATATATAAAAGCCTCTTGTAACATGTAAACAATATCATTGAAAAGAAGCATGCAAAGTTTGAAGACTGTATCTATAATACTTTGCCTCCTGATACATTTGGCATTCCTAAAAAATCTAAAAAACGTGAAGTTGAGAAAAACGAAAGAAGTTTAAAAATGTTGTTTTTTTAAATTTAAAAACTACTTGAACAATATAGGGTGCATACACCATGTACATGTACCATTCATAAATGAAAAAACAATATAAAAACACCGATATAAAAGATAGAAAATTAATAAAGTTGTGTTTTCAGAACATCAACCCCCGTCCCAAATAAAAACATTCTAATAAACAAAAAATAATTTTAAAATTTCTTCTGGACAGATCTTATAGAAGGAGGTGTTATTATGTAGATAATATCAATGGTAAGAAGCATGGAAAGTTTGAAGCCTGTATCTGTAATACTTTTCTTCCTGATACATTTCGCGTCCATGAAAAATCTAAAAAACGCAAAGTTGTGAAAAACGAAAAATATTTTTTTTTTAAATTAAAGACTACTTGAACAATGTAGGATGTATATACCATGTACATGAACCATTCATAAATTAAAAAACAATAAAAAACACAGATATAAAACACATAAAATTAATAAAGTCATGTTTTCAAAATAACAACCCCCCCATCCCAAATAAAATTATAATAATAATAAAAATAATTTTTAAATCTCTGCTTGAAAGATCTAAAAGAAGGAGGTGTTATTATGTAGATAATATCAATGGTAAAAAGCATGAAAAGTTTGAAGCCTGTAGCTTTAATACTTTTCCTCGTGATGCATTTGGCATTCCTAAAAATCTGAAAAAACGCAAAGTTGAGAAAAACAAAATATTTTTTTTTTAAATTAGGACTACTTATTGAACAATATTGGATGCATATACCATGTACATATACTATTCATAAATGTAAAAACTATATAAAAACACAGATATAAATGATAGAAAATAATAAAAGTCATGTTTTTAAAAGCAACCCCTTGTCGTAAATAACATGATTATATAAAAAATTCTGGAAAAATTTTCTATCATGTGAGTGTGAGGTATGTAGATATAACACTTTCCCTCCTGGGTGAGCCAACTCCCATCAAAGGACCATCATCAATGTCTACTACCTCTGCAACTTATCCTTGTAGATTGGTAGTGATTGATGCAGGGTGGTAGTGTATCATTCTGGTCGATTGTCTTTTGGTGAATGTTTGGTACATCCATTATTTGGAAAAACTTCCCCATACCAGCATGCCACAATCCAGTCACTAATGATGCTGTCACAGCTCTTTTGCTGACATAAAAAATGTTGCCTTTGCATACAACTAACATGTCAGATGATGGGATGACAACGTCACATACATTACATA